CTTGGCCGAAGTATTTAGTATGCGAGATAAATGTGACAATAAATTGCTAAGAAACGTTATGGGATGTATTCGAGATACCGCGCAGTCTCATCAACATTTACAACGTTTTGAAGATTGTGTGAAGCATTCCAAATGCATGTAAAAAATACTCTCAAGCTGGCTCCCAATACGCGTGAAGAAAATTCCTAGAAAAATCAGTAGAATTTATTATTTTTTTTTAATTAATTTTATGAGTCGCCCCCATTCCCGTCTTCTTCTTATTTCCCTGAAAGAATCAAACAAAATTTGGAGCCGAGGAATTCCTCTAGGAAATATTTTAAGAAATAAAATAAAATAAACTCCACTAGTTATAAATTTAACCAATTTAATGTTAAATTTTCTATTCAATTTATTGAATATTATTATTTTTATTTTTATTTTAAAAAAAATCGTCCAGATGAGCTAAATTGTCTGAATCGAATATAGAATTTTCGACAGAATTGTCTGAAAACTAATTGAAATCCAATAGAATTTTCCAGCGAATTCGCTTGATTTTTTTTCTCAATTTCTTCGTGCGTAAACACGACAGAAAAACATTTAAAAAATGAGAAAGGAACACTAAGATTGACAAGACCGATTGGATGAGCTCATCATCAAACAATATTTGTCTTTTCCAAGAGGGCAGTGGTCTCAAAAGGGAGTGGCGTCAATAACCATTTCTATCGATTACTCTTGTTTATCACGTCAGCCTAAAAAATCCCTCATCTTTCGCCCCTCACATACATTTCCACTCCTTCAAGCCTAAAAAATAATCCAATTAGACCTCACGCAAACGAAAAACCACATGACCGTCTGGGTCTCAAATTTCCCCAAAGAGCAGTGAGAATAAAAAATTTAAATACAAATCAGAACGAATTCAGCGCCTCAGTGCAAATTACTCGTCTTGACCTTCGTACCAATTCATTTTTTTCCAACTGTTTAAAGTTCTTGTCCTCCTCTGTTTTCCCATCCGTTGGAGGAGTTACGATGTGAGAGACTCGTATTCGCGAAAGAGAAGTCACGCAACCGGAGGGGAAGTGAGAGAGTCGGAGGCGTCGCGGCGCTTCCCCGCGACACTAGCCAGTCTATGCCAGTGCGTCCTCACGTCAGGGACCACCTCGACTCTCCCGTTCTCCAGTTGGAAATTAACACATTTGAGGCGATTTTATGAACAACTACGAGTGATTAATTGCGTAATTAAAACTTTAGTGAGTGACGCGCATTGAATGAAATTAGCCGGCTGTTTTTCCGCGGAAAAATGAAGAAAGTGCAATGGGAAAATTGAGGAGAATATATGAATTGATTTTTGGGGATTTGGAAATTTATTGAGGAGTACAGAGTTCGTTCATCATGATCACGGTGCCGGTGGGCACTTCCAGTCCCTATTTCACTGTGACATCGTTCAGCGATGCTAGCACACTCAGGAAACGGCCACTGGTAAGGGTGTGATGATTGTTCGCCTTCACGAAGATGAGAATCAAATGCCGGGAGCAGAAATCGCGGATAATCGCAGCGCAAAAATAGAGAGTTGAAAGATAAAAGTATATGAAATTCTGTTTTATGGAAATTTTCATCAAAATGTCCATGTGCCATTTCATTCTTCATGCGATGCGCGGTGCGGATTAAATTAGGCAGGACGATACGAAAATGAAAATGATTCATTTGTGAATTTTTTGGTTGTCATTTTTAGGAATTTACTATTTAAATTCACATGTGACTGTCGGTCGAATTAGCAGGAACTTGATGACGATAAATCTCAGATCAAAAATAGAGAATTAAAGAGTAAAAGTGCGTAAATTCTTTTTATATGGAAGTCTCCACAAGAAACATGCGCCATGTGTTATCTCGTGCTTCATGCGATGCATAGAAAATTAGGTCCGTGCGAAAATTAAATGACTATTTTATGAATTTTATCGTTGCAATTGTTCTGAGTTTCAGAATTCTGTTTATTTAGAATTAAATTCAATGTTTTTCACAATGAAAAATGTGGCAGGAATGGACATTACGGAAAATATCAGCTTCAAAATAGAGAAATAGAGAACAGATGCATTTGAAATTATCTTTATCCGAAAATTATCATCGAAAAGGCCATGTGGCGTGTGTCATCTCACTTCTCATGCGATGATAGATGTATGTAAAATTACTCGGACCATTGTTTCGTTTGAATTTTCTCTTTCTTTCCACTTTTTTTTAAACTTCTCAACTTGTACTCGTGAATATTCAAGGAAATTCCTTCTTCAGTCCAGATGAAAATAAAAACGATTGAGAACCATGAAATTCCTGGCGATTAGTATTCTCAATTCCCAATACATTCAAAATGCCAAAGTGAAATCATGAATAAAAAAAATGTCAAGAGCTGGAATCACAAAAAATATCAGCCAAAATAGAAAAAATGAACAAAAAAGTACATAAAACCCTCTTCACACGATAGTAATTACTAAAAAGTCCATGTGTCCTGCCATCTCCCTTGTCATGCGATGATTGATGTGTACAAAATTAATCAGCTCATTGTTCCCCTCGATTTTTCACTCTCCTACCACATTTTCTCGGAAAAAAACGTCTCAACGTACGTTCGCCTGAACGCATTTCTAAATCGGTATCCTCGCCCCTCCGGGGACACTCGGAATCTGACGACACTGCCAACGATATCTATAGATTCCACCGTTTTAACAAAATGTAGTATAAATGATCATCGACTTTCTAAGAAACTTATTATCCAACTGCCATGATTATCAGTATCTCGCTGTGATTTAGCACGCAACGTCCCATCCATTATTTTCCCAACAATTTTCCATTGTTGAATAACCAGTCCCAATCTCCATTCCACGTTCAACAATAAAAATTAAAAAAAAAACACAACGAGGGGGAAAAAATAACAGAATATTTCAAGTGTCTGAGAAAGAGGAGAACGTAAAATGAAGTAAAAAATATAGTCGTAAATTACTCAATCAATTACGTGTGATTGACATCTAAACGTGACATAAATGAGTAAAAATTTAATTCGACGTCAAGTGCACAATGCGACTAGTTGTGCTTTCAAACAATATGGATTAGATCCACAAGCACAAGCGTTAAATCAAATATCCCCTCGGGGCCCAATGGAAATGCATTCCATCACGTGTTTACGAATTCAATTTGTACTTCAACATTTGTCTGTTTCTGTTGCATTAATTCACATTTCAATTCTTACACGCACTTTTTTCAATCATTTGTTATTTCATTCAGCCAAGTGCAGAGAAAAGAGGCCTTTTATGAATAGAAATTTATGGTAATGCTGTTTCTCTCTTTTCTTTCAAAGAAATTCATTGAAATATTCATTGGCAGATACCACTGTGGCTTTTCTTCAGATTCACTGTGAATCTTCAAGAGCTCCGTGACTCGACTTGAGCTCTCTGGATTCCGGAAGTCGGGGAAAAAAATATATATTCACACGAAGGCCTCTCATTTATTTTATTTTCACGCTGGGAATTCAAGGCGACGATTATAAAAAAACAATCGCATACATATGGTCTTCATTTGACAGATTGAAAAAGAATGGCCATGTGCATTGGCTTTATTACTGGGTAATAATAAAAGTAAGGAACGTAATTGGATAACAGAAGCCCGATTGGTTGCCTGATGTTTGAGTTTTCTGTGTCAGTTAACTGACTGCGAAATTGTGTACACATTTTATATGTGGGACATTCGTATTGGCAAGTTGTTCAACCTTTCGAGATGATTGAGACGACCACTTGTGTGAGACTGAAACTAGCGAGAGATTCGGCAGTGGACGATTCGATTTGGGTGACGGTGGAACTGGCAGAATATTCGCCAGTGGAAAATTGAATTTGGGGGATATTTAAACGTAGGAGAGTCAAATAATCATGTGGACGAATGTTTTTTAAATGCGAAAGAGAATTTTCGTCTGAATTTTCCGTGTCAAATCCCGGAAATTTTTATCGTGTTTAATTTCCACTGAATTTTCAGGAAATTTTGTCATTGAAAAATCAAATATTCCATTTATTTTCTGCTCAAATGATCTGAAAATTAATAAAATTCTTGATTTTTCAGTTTAATTATTTCGTAAAAACTTGGAAAAATTGCAAATTTTTTTGGCAAATCCCATTGAAAATTCAATCAAATTGTGAAATTTGCGTCTCACTGTCACTGAAAACTCATGAATTCCCTTGAAGTCTACCTAAAACTTGAAATTTCATAACCGTTTTTATCCTAAGTCTCCTTGTACACCCCTAGATTCACCTAAGAAAAATCTGCTGTCGAATCTTTCGCTAGTTTCGGCTTCATCCCCTCGTTCTGCTCAATGTTCAAGTTCTAATTGCTGTAAATAATTAAAATTTACTCTTCTGAACAGATTTATTGGTTTCAATCACATGCCTGTCAACGAAAAAAAAAATTCACGTAATTAAAACGAATATCATAATGATTATGCCTTATCTAAATGGATTTTAAATGTAAAGAGATACTATTTCGAGGCAGAGGAGAATATTAACACTGATTACTCGAAAACTGCCAACTGAAGTTAATTTTCAAGATGAATTGAGGTGCCTCGCGATGCATGTGTGTCTACGAAAATTCGTACGAAGAATTTATTTTTGGTCTGGCCTTCGTTGCAGGTTTTTAACGTTGCGAAACTAATCTTGTTTATCGATAGACTGAATCCTCCTTTTTTTCTGTTTCTCTCTGTCTTAAAAATAGTTCTGTAATATTTCGGAGTGGCTTGGATCATTGGGGATAAAATCATTTGTGTGCGTAGAGTGATAAATTTCCGACATTTTTAGATAGGTTTCTTTGGATTCGCTGGACAGTTTGGGGCGTTATGTTTGCACGTGTCACTGGGCACTGGAGGGATTATTGACACATGTGTCAGAGTATTTCCTAATCGTTCTCTCGTTACGAAACACTCTCCGATTTTGTTCACAACATTTTATCGATTCTCTGGTGGTTTCCCTTGAGACAGAATTTATGGGATTATCTCTTTGTAGGTACACGAATTATTCAGCGCCATGAAGGAGCAATCGTCCTTGTCCAGGGTCGACAGGGACAGGGACCTCCAGAGGTCCAACAGTAGTGCCGCTGCCCTGACAACAATTGGCGCTGACATATCACCGAGTTCATCCCACTTTTTTGAGGTAAGAAAATAGGGAAGGGGGACGTACCGCACATCAAACACTTGTGCAATATTTTTCGTAGCTCTCTGGAAGCTTCACATGCTTTGATTAATTCATGAATTTGCATATTTCATCAGGTACTTTACGTTGGAAAAATAAAGTTGTCTCATCAGAAGGTCCCCGAGTCGTTCATTGACGATGCTCTTATGAAGTTCAAGGCTCATGGCCTTGAGAAGTCTAAATCAACAGCGGGTAATCTGCTTGCCGAGTGTCAGCAATTACGTAGGCAGGCTCATCTTGCTGCCAGTAATGAGAATCGGAGGGATAGTGGGGTGAGAATTGAATTACACCTCTCTCAAGATGATTTCGCTCATTAGAATTGCTTTTAAATGTTCTCCTTGATTAATTTTTCACTTGAATATTCGTATGTGGAATATTTCCTATAAAATCTGCAGTGGAGGAAAAATTCTTTAGACCTCCCTGGTGAAGGGATATTCGTAGAAAATAATACGAGATGTATTTCTCATACTATTAATTTTTTTTAGTGAAATTGATGGTAGATTTAGTTCATATCTCGTATATTTGAGTTTCTGAAAATTCAAAAATTTATGGAAAAATTTAGGAAAACTGTTTATTTCCGTTCAATTATTCCATTATTCGATGAATGTTTTGTCAATGAATTCAAGAGTTTAAAATACCTATAGAATAATGATCTAACGTAGAGAAATCATTTCTGTTGAATTTCCAAGATTAATAAAAAATCTATAAGCGAGTTGATCTCAAATTGAATTAAAATCCACTACATAAAAAATTCAAACGCAACTACTGCCCAAATTCCAAAAAAATTCTATTCATCTAATATTTTCGTAAATACTCAAGAAAGACTGGAAGAATAATAACAACCATAAAATCACTGTTTAATTCCAGGATTCGTCAACAAGTGATCTGGGCAGCAGTGACAACGTCTCAGGCCCCAGTATAATCTCCCCAACGAGTCCCCTGGGAATAACCACACTCGGAGGCTCTGTGGAGTCCCTCCCCCCGCCCCCCACCGAGACGCGCGAAAGTTCCCAAGCAAAGAAAATCGTAAATGCAACAATGCAACCACCTGATATGATGAGAAATAGAGCGGCCTCAACAGGCAGTGTCCTAGGGCCCCGAAGAGGCTCTTCATCCAAGGGAAATGACGATCACAATCGTACAATGTTATTCCAGGTAAATAACCCAAAACGACAATTCCTCCGGTGAAATTATGAAAGCCTGAGAATTTTACTGAATTAATCCATCGGTTCATGCAAATAAGCAATTTATTATTTCCCTGACATAGAAAAGATCGCCTAAGGAGACACTAAAATGAAACAACTCTTACTAATTTATTCAACTTATTATTACACATACAAAAAAAATTGAATTTCTATTGACATTTCTATTAGTTTTTGGTAGATTCTATTGGAAAATTCCGCAAAAATGTTCAATGAAAAATATTCTACAGAAAAAATCAATAGAAATCCAAAAGAATTGATGTTGTTTAAATTTGCTTGTTTTTAAAAATTGTCTTTATTCATTTATTCATTCTTTAATCTCCATAAATCCCATTGTAGCCATCACACATCTTCACTTACACAATTACCATCACTAGAACAATTAAAAAAGAAAGTGACTAGTCAGCATTGAAAACACTAAAAAAAGACTGACAATTAACAAATTATTCTTATACTATACATTCCAGGTTGGCCGCTGTGATCTCAGGCTCATAAGCCCCGACAGAAAAGGCGTTCTGTTCCACAAACAGTTAAAGGACATTGCGAGTTGTGTCCAAGGCCTGAAGAACCCCGAGCACTTTGGATTCATCTGTCGTGAGGTGTCTGCCGAGTGTTTCATCGGTTACATCTTCAAATGCCAGTCAGCCTCAGTGGCTGATGATCTTGTTGGTGCTATAACCCAGGCATTCATAGCAACTTGCAACGGTGCGAAAAAAGAACGTCACACAATACTCCAGTGTGAGCACTGTCCCATGGTGTGGTACAACAATCTTTGTCAAGCAATCGAGGGTCAGGGGGACAGAAAGACCCAGAGTATAATATTCACTCGTATGGAGCTCCTCCCAGAGGACGAGCAGGAGATCGTTGTGACGAAATACAAAGGTGCTGAGGCTGCTGGTGGCTCTGGTCGTGAGTTCAGTTTACGCGAGCAAAATCAATTTCTTATGATGCTGTTACGTGCCCACTGTGAGTCCAAGCAATCACGACATGTTCACGATACAGCTGAACAGAGGAGTGAATTTTTGAATCAATATCTGAGCGTTGGAGTGGGCAGCACAATATTCATGAAGGCCAAGAGATCCTTAACGAACTCCTTCGATCATCTGATGAAAAGAAAGGGTTCGAGGGATGATTTTGGACTGAATTCACACGTGAGGGATAACAATGCCTCAAGGAGTGAGAGAGGCAGCCCTGTTGGATCGATGCCTGGGATGATGGGAGAGGTAACACCAGAGTCCAATCGTCCCAGGTCCCTGAGGGTCTCCCCTGAACAACAGTTGGTGGTTAACACAGGACCAAAGAGCCCCATGATGGATATATTCCTGAAAGTGGGTAATTCACCAAAGATGTCGCCCACTGAGGCTGAAGACAATACACGATTGCAGTCCAACAGTTCTTGGAGGCAAGCAATACTCAATCGAGTTGTCACACCTGGAAAGGACCAGGAGGCTAGGGACGACAAAAATACGAGGGATAAAGTACAAGTGACACCCAAGAGATCCAAACAGGAGTTACGAGAATTATGGAAGAAGGCGATCAATCAACAGGTGATTTTAATAAGAATGGAGAAGGAAAATACGAGACTCAGGGTGAGGCAGGAGGAGGCGACAATGAAGAGGATAAAACTGGAGTACGATGAGTTGAGTAGTTGTGCTAGGGAATTGTCAGAGGTATGGGATTTGCTTGTGAGCAAGGAGAGCAGGATCTCAACAAAGTGCGACAATCAGATGCTTCTCCAGGCGATTAAACAGGGGGTGCCCAGGGGCAAACGAGGGGATGTCTGGCATTTTCTCGCTGAACAGTTTTGCCTGAAAATGCCACCTATCGACACCGCAGACTTTCCTAATTACAACACACCTTATGATTTACTTCTCAAACAACTCACCTCTCAGCAACACGCCATTCTGATTGATTTGGGCCGAACGTTTCCCAATCATCCTTATTTCAGCTCACCCCTTGGTCCAGGTCAGCTCGCTCTGTTCAACCTGTTGAAGGCGTATTCTCTGCTGGATCACGAGGTGGGCTACTGCCAGGGCCTCAGCTTTGTAGCTGGAGTTCTTTTACTTCACATGTCTGAGGATCAAGCCTTCTTCCTACTCAGACACCTCATGTTCAGGCGAGGACTCAGAAAACTTTACTTACCTGATATGGCTGCACTCCAGCTGCATCTCTATCAACTGTCTAGATTACTTCACGACAGGTTACCCTCGATTTACTCTCACTTTGATAAACACGAGGTGTCGCCAACGCTCTACGCAGCCCCCTGGCTACTCACTCTCTTCGCCAGTCAATTCCCCCTGGGTTTTGTCACCAGAGTATTCGATCTTCTGTTCCTCGAGAGTTCGGAAGTCATATTCAGAGTGGCTCTCGCACTGCTGGAGGAGCATCAGGATCAGCTGCTGATGTGCGACAGCTTCGAGGAGATCATGGAGTACCTCAAGGTGACAGTTCCAGCTGTCGACAAGGCCATCCTGGATCGTGTCATGAAGAGGGTCTTCTACCCGGATCTGGAGATCCCCAAGCAGTTGAATGAGTACAGAGTCGAGTATCAAGTCCTCCAGGAGGAGATGTTGTCCGTCAAACCTCAGATCGAGAACATGGAGAAACTGGAGTTGCTGAATAAACAGCTGACCCAGCAGAATGCCCATCTCACCTCACAACTGGAGATTGCTGTGAGCAATCTTCAGCGTCTCGAGAGCACCAGATCCTCCCAGCAGCTGTCAGTTCACAAACTGGAGTCGCAGAATCGAAGTCTGGAGGTGACAGTTGCCACTCTGGGCTCCTTCATACAACAATTGGCTGAGACTAGGACTGATATTGAAATTCCGGGCGATGTGAGGAGGATAATAGCACAATTCAGTGTTGCTGAGAAGCGTCGGAGTAATAGCTCCAAGTCATTTCCCCTGAAGGTGATTGAGGATAATAACAATCGGTATGAGCCCACCAAGAGCAACTCCACGGGACGAGACTCGAAAATATTCCTCAAGGGCAATATGGAACCCCCTTATCCACTTAAATCTGCCCTCAGTCAACCGAATCTTGGGACGAAGCTGGAGAAAATGTCGTCGTTCTTTGCTAATTCTCATAATCATATTAAACAGCAACGAGCGCAAATGGCAGCTTTGAGGAACGAGAGCATTGGTGAACACACACTTAATAATAATGACGAGAATGATCCCAAGACAGTTAATATTGACATACAAATCACTGACACTGTCAATACGACAATCGACAATGTTATACAGAGTGACAATAATTTGAAGATTGAGACTGGGAGTCTGGAGAAATCTACCTCGTTGCCGTTGAATGCTAAAATGAAACTCAAACCTACAAAGTCTGCTTATGAACTTGGATCTGTCAAGAAAATTCCCACTACCAAGTTGGATGACAGTAATGACACTGTCTCGAGTATTGGAACAGTTCATCCACTGGACACTTGCAGCGATGTTAACTTCAAGTATGGGGGAACTACGAAATTAAAGTGCATAAAACCGGTGAGGCTGTCCAGTCAGGGGCAGAATGAGAGCCTTAGCAAGGAGCTGCAGAGCCAAAATCCGGAAATTCTTACTAGATAACACATGGTACTTGTCACGATTAATGAGGAGTGAATCGTTGGATGGAGATTCCGCGATTTGTGGAGTCATTGTGTCAATTATGATAGGTCTGTCTTCTAAATTTATTTCTTTGGCTTTTTTTTTTGTGGATTAGAGTGATTTTTGGAGAAGGGGTAATCACGAAATAAATTGTACGAGTATTTCAAGGGTTTAATGTTTCGAGGATTCTGAAATATTTTTTCGAATTCCCAGGATTTAATGAAATGTTGAGAAATTTCAAGATTTTGAATATTGTAATGAATTTCTAAAGACATTTCTGAAAATTGTGAAGATGTAATGAAATTTTTGATTTTTTTTTCGATATTTTCGATAGTTCAAAAATTTTCATTCAATATTTAGTATGAATTCGCCGAATTTTACGAATGATTACCCTCTCTCCCATCATTGTTATTCCCCAGAGGACAGATTCTTCATTACTTTCGTCCACACGCGTCCATATTATCCCGTACTGGTGAGAATCATCGAATGAACTGCACGATTATAACATTGAAAACAGTATTTAATTGGGTAGAATCCGGTATTAAGTTCTAGTGGATTAAAAAATCTTGTACTTTAATTATTCTCGATTATTGAAGATCACCTGAATCATTAAATCGCACAAAATGAATTAACGGGTTTATTTTTTATCAGTCTTCTTCGTCAGTGATGAAATATAATATATCAAGAGTAGAAATTTCTAAATGTGAAGAGAATATCACGATGTCTTGCCTATGTAATAGACTTAATAGAAAGTTCTATTGATAAATTGAATGTAAACTGATTCAACTTTGGATCTCTCTATGCAGTGTGCCAATTAAACAATATATTGTACATTTATAAATTATATGAGAACAGTCCATCAGGGAAGCAATAGTAGCACGACTATCACATCTGTGAATGCTCACAGAAATTTTTGAAACGTCAAATTGGAAGTAATTGTCAATCGAAACATTACACATCTCTAAATGACTGCCAAATTTAAATAACACCCGGAATTATTCAAAAAATTAGGTTTAAAATTTATTCAGTACTTATCGTTGATTAACTTAAACACTGTAGTACAAATCATATGAGAATAAAATATAGTTCAGTATTCGATGGATGTTTTACTGGAAATTGCGTAAACAATGAAATAACGTTGAATGTCAAAGTTGAGGAAAAGTTGATTCATTGGCCCATTTTTTTTCATGGAAAGAGTAAATAACTGTAGAGAGAAGTTATTTATATTTTCTAGTACTTAGATTTATACCATTCTAGGTGACATAGCAGTCGTGTATTTATGAGGGGTCATTAATCCGCGAGGATCAATTGTTTACGTGTTTAAAGAAGAATTCTAATGCTATAGTTGCCAGTGATGAGCCACTATCACAGCCCGTACTTGATCAGTGTACATAAATTAAAGATTAACATACAGATGTAAGGAATAGATTTAGTGCAGTATATGTGATGAAATTGTATCGAAGGTTTTCTCATGGAATTTAGGGAGAGTAGGGCATGCAGTAGGTGAATGTTTCGTTTAATTCTTCGGTCCATCATTGATGAAGTAATTACTGAAAATTCTCGATTCACTTCCACAAATGCTTCCTAGGTACATCATTGTTGGTGAGGGACAAGAAATTCCTCTCGCAGGTGAAAAGACGTTAGAAAAAAAGAATCCAGTCTTGTTCATAGTGATACTAGAGTAGTGAGCAATTTCCATTGAACTGGAAATGGTGATAAGATGTGACGATGAGGATAAATATTCTCCCGTCCACATTTATTAAAATCTTTCATTTTTTATGGAAAATATCATTAAAATGCCAGTAAAATGTATCGATTTATTTTAAGGTAATTTGTAAGATGAAATGGATAATATATACCCTATTTCAATGCTTAATGCAGATCAGAAGAATTACATATGTGAATTATGTCTTCAATAAATTAACATCAAATGTGAATTTTAATTATTCTAGTAATGTTTATTTAATTCCTCCCTTAATTGTAATACTTACTTCATTGTGAGGGATTTATCGTGAAATTTAACAAGACAAATGATACATGATAATGTCAAAACATTTATTTGCGTCTTCAATTTATCAATCTGATCAATTTTTCATTTCTCTTTTGTACATACAATACACAATTAATGACAAAACTGCTGTTCTTCACATTCTAAATAGTCCCTCGGCAGCATTATAAATGTACAATCGTCTATATCTCACTCTCATTTCCTTCAAAAAGTAAACAAATTCATTATTGATACATAGAGTACGGAAAAAGTACATCGAATTTATTAATTCACCCACTCCCCCACACTTTTTTTTGTCATTTTTCAGTTATTTTCCTCAGAGCGTAAGAAATGATAGAAAAAAATATTAGTTGTGAAGAAAATATGTAAACGAAATTATCTCTAATAGAAAAAATATAATATGTAATAATGTAACCGCCATAAACTCAAGTACACGATGATTAAATTTTCTCTGAATAATGATAAAGTGCCACTGACATTGCATGTACAATCAAATCAATAGATTTCAGGTTATTCAATGGAAGATGAATTAAATGGTCAATCAAGTCGTCATATACGTCATTGAGTTAAATGATACGCTTGCATTGAGCATTGCATTACGATAAAAAGCACTCCACGATTGCCGCAGTTGGCATTTCTGGTCTCATATATATATTTTTTTGGCTTTTTCGTTTTTTTCATTTTCTATCAATAATATTCCGGTGATAACAATCATAGTGAAAAAAGTTATCAAGTTTATTTAAACTAGTTTACATGTATATTTAATATATCATAATAATCAACGCCGATGCCTAAACGACCTATTTATCTTTTAACATATTACTAAATAGGTTTGAGTTAAGGCAGGTAAAAATCGTATTTTCATTATTTGTTCTCATCAGCTGGTGTTTTACATTACCACTCGAAAGAAAAAACATCATTTTCACGCGCATCATCATCACGCCCAATAGATTTTTTTTATTTTTTGTATATATTTTTTTTAATGCAATATCAAATGCAAATTGAAAAACGTTCATTTTGTTACTTAATAGAAAATAATTGAAAGCGCTCGGAAAAAATTATATCTAAACGGCACTTCGTCTATGATTTTACATAATTGTTTTAATTTTCATTCTGCCCGGTTACATTTTAAGAAGAATACAGCGCAACCAGATTGGGCTTCGAGAAAAGAAAAATATCATTAAATTTCATTAAATTCATTTCAAATACACGAGGTATTTATAGTCGATTCGTCGTTCAATCTCACTCCCAGATTAACCGAAAAATATAATATGAAAATGTGAGAGTGAAACGTCATCTCAACCCCTCTCCCAAATCAAGCATAATTGATTTTAATTAATAGTCATTTGAACTTTCACCACTGATAGACTCGTAAATTAAACTAATTACATTTTTCTCGCACTCTCATTTACCGTCTAGTCTACAGGAACGAAAAAAATAATCAGACGATATGTACAAAAGCAAAAACGTACATAAAGTAACAAAATGTTTCAGCAAAACTCAAAATCCTGCATTATCCCCTCGAAATAAAAATATTTCTCCAAAGCGTAAGTGTTCGCTGATAAATGAAAAAGTCGATTAAACTCACTGGTTATGACATTCGTTGGGGAGAAAATTATTTACACAGAGTTGTACAAAACTGTGAAATTACGATTAACTAAATTCTATGAACAAACTGTGCCAAGATGTCATGATAACCGAGACGAGAGAAAAAAAAAGAGACTATAGCCTTAATGAATTCTTGTACTTCTTCCGTACTTGTTTACATTTTCTTGTATTTTTCCATCAGATTCAGGGTAACGAGACGAATGAATATCGATTCATGTACACATTTTAGTCTAATAAATTTTCATTGTCCACCCCCCCAAAAAAAAAATTACCAGTCATTTCTATATACATTCCCAGAATGGAAGAACAAACGGTGAATTTGAATTACACAGAACGGGAAATAAAATTCCATTGTATTCCTCCACAACTGGAGAATGATTTTTCAACATAACGAAAAGAGATGACTCGCGGATTTTTTTCAAATGTAGTAAGATAATCAGTCTATCGCGATGGGTTTGCGTCAGTGAGGAGTGACTCTAGTGGTTCGTACCTTTCTGTTTTGAGACTGCCAATTCTCTTGAGATGCTGATGGAGTGTGTTAGCAGCGACTGGATGACAGGGTGCTACACTCGGTGTCGATGCACCAACTGCCTCGGATAGACTAACGATGAATGTTGACCATTCTTGTGTCATTGCTTTGTCATCGGGGTAGAGATTTTCTGCTTGCTCGAGGAGCGATGCAATCACAGAGACTCCAAACTGCACATTATGAAAATGAGAATATCAGGGAAAGAATGAGCAAATGATGTACTCAGGCTGTCGTTTCGCATTTTTTATTTACGTTAATAGTACTCTAGACTCTAACTTGGATTATTGTTGATTTTAAAAAATTTCTATTGTAAATTTTGAATTGAAAATGATGCTGTTGTAAGTGTAGGAGGATTCTTTTTTTTGAAATTGTCGGGTCAAGGATAATTAGGTTGATAACGAAAAAAATAATACTGATGTGAATTTAATAACATTTTCTTCTTGCTACCCACGATTCCGAACAAATGATATTCATGCTGGAAAATTGAGTGCTTATGAATTATTTACCGAAAATGCTCGTAATTTTCCAAAATTGCAATTTTTTGATTATTTCATCCTCCAACAGTAAACTTTTAAAAATTTTCCCCGCTTTTTAAAATGTTTCTAACGGTTCAACCTCAAAATTAAAATTCCAACTTGCAAAGTTTAAATAATAAATCATTGTAAAATGTCCGGAAACTCCGATTCAAATAGGGCCCTGAATTATTTTTCCCGTTATTCTTGAAATAGATTAAGCATAAACAACGAAGAATCAAGAATCCTCAAAAATTCTCATCCCAACATTTTCAAAATCCTCGATCGAACCTCAAAACCTACGGAATTAATCCCCCCACTATCTTCCCAAACCCCCGTCTCCCCGAATACCCCATAAAATTTCAATTGTACAAACCTTATTGGTCACAGCAAAAGCGAGACTATTATTAATCCTGCTGTTCTGATTGACCGAGTCCAAGAACCCCCTTGCCAGTCTCAGAACAGTCTCAAAATCCCTAGTAGTCTCAATCCACCTGTGAAACTCTGGGAAGAACTTCACCAGCAGATAGGCATCCCGCCTGCCAACAATGGCCAGCCCCCTGAGCAGCCCAGTCCACAGTTCGCCCAGCTGTGCACCGTACTCCGTGACACTCAAGAAAGGCAGAAACCTCAGCAAAAGATTCTTCCCCTTCCGAATACTGAGAATGCTGGCGAGTTTGTCCTCATGCAGCAGTTGAATGAGTGACGTCAGCATGATGTTAATGAGCTCAGGGGCAGTTTTCTTGGGGGCTTTGGGCTCCTCGTTCTCCTGGGGCTGCTCCAGTGGCTCAGCCACCTGAGCCAGGGGATTGCTCAAATCCTCGAGCTTGAGCTGCACCGTGTACAGTCTCTCAATCTCCAACAACCGCTGCCTCGCCTTCTTCATGTCCTTCTGCTGCGGATGCTGCTGAGGATCGCTATTGGGCACCACATCCATATCAATGATCTTCCTGGGTGCTGTGACACTCCCGCACTGCAGCTTCCCCAGAGAATTCTCAAACTGCGTCGGGGTATAAACAACCTTCGTCAACACATGCTGCTCCTTGTCCCTCGGATCCCTCCCAAACCCATTATTATTCTGCTTCCTATCCCTGCTGTCCTGATTATCATTCTTCTTATTCTGCCTCTCCGAGAACACAGTGAAGTAGTAATCATCGACATAAGGCTGATTGGTCTTGTGCTGGAGCAACTGAATATTCGTCAGCCACTGCTTCTCCCTGGAGCTCATCAGCCCAGAGTACTCGTCATACTCCCCATTATCGTTCAGCCCATTCAGCTGATTATGATGACGATGATGATTGTACCTCTGGTTATTACGATTCTGATGCCAGTACTGATTGTTCTTGAAAAATGGCTGGTGATTGGCTGCTGGTGGCTCGTTACCGTGACTTCTGCACTGATTTCTCTGATTGTTGTGCTGATTCGGGTGATTCGTTGGAATGGCGAATCGCGGCACTGGCTGGTCGGGTCGAATGAACTGCGGGAGGTTGAGTCTTGGCTGGGGGAAATTTCCCACGAAGTTGCCGTGCATTGTTTGACGTTGATTCACTATCAGGTGGCGGGGCATGGAGTGGCGCCCCAGTATGAGATTTGTTTGATTCGGTGGCATGGGACGTGGGTTTTGGAGTAATTGGTTGGGGAGGTGAACGTTTGGGGGGAGAACCACCGGGTGGGGCCCAGGGAGGGCTAGACCTGGGGGAAATCTCGGTCGGAGGGGGCCGTTGAAGATTTTCTGGCATAAATTAACTGGCAAGTGGTCGTTGAGACCTGAATAGTCCAGGATAAACTGGTTCCTGGGGGCCTGGGCGTTTGTTATCGTTGGCGGGGGCTTTGCTAGACCTGGCGGGGGGCGGATGAGACCTCGCTCTAGCTCCTCGACTGTTTGAACGAATTTCAAGGCCACTGGCAGGGGCTGCTGGGACCCGGGGTGAATCTGGGGCTGGGGCTGGGGGTGTAGTACCAGCGTGGGACTGTCCCAGACACCTGGCCGGGGGACTATTCCGTCCTTCTCGTCGAGAACTAGGTGGGATAAGCTACCCTCGATGTCCACGTCCAGCCCATTCTTCGTGGAAGCGGTGGTTTGCACCAGGGGACGAGTTGACTCGGTTATCTGGGCCAATTTCTCGTGGTCCTGCTCCCAGTCACCGTCGGTCGCGTCCTCGCCGAAGGTCTCGTCGTTCAGGGCATCGTACTCGTCCTCCTCGCCTACTTCGTCATCGTCTTGGGGGCAATCTATTGCATCGTCGAATCCACTTCCCTGGAAAGGAGGTTGGTGAGAATCGACCGGGTCTGCTGAGCAACTCCTGGGGGATTTTTCAATCTTCTTTGGGATGGGAGGGAATTTCTGGGGGATTTAACTGTTTTGAGGTGAGAAGGATTTGTGGAACGGGATATTCTACCCCTTTCATGGATAATGCTCTGAATGTCCACGAGAAAATGAAGGTGGAACTGGGGAAAAGTCACCAGTGGGGAACTCAATTCAGGTGAATCTAAGCGTGAAGTATTTTTAAGTCGTGAAAAAATTCGTTCGCACTTGAAAAAAGTTTGCTCATGTGATTGCTTAACCCTGAAACCCTCGCGAATCCCCTCAATTGGGGTTTTTTCATAGTGAGACTGTGATAAATTATACACAATCGAGAATAATCCTGGAATGAGTTGCATTGTGTCTGAATATGACGTCTGAGAAGTGATTTTCTATGACTTATCAAAGGTCATAACTTACAGAAACTGTTCTGCAGTAAATTATAAGGAAAATATCGAGGTAAAATAACAAAACTTAATTATCAGTTTAATTGCATTCGCCATAATTTCACTAGGTGTGCTATTTTTTGGAGTTTGATGCAGTGAAGTTCCTACTTTCTGAGATTATCAACGACTACATCTCCCTGGGACGGTTTCCACTCTTCATTCAGAATTTTTTTTTGGGTTTGTGAGGAGAAACAACAGCTACTCCGCAATATATTTTGAAAGAAATGAAGGAATATTGATGAAAAAATAACAAAACTAACTTGTCAATTATAATTTTATTCATCACAACTTAATTAGTTGTGCTATTGTTTCCGAACGCCCTTGATCATTCCATCAAAATTGAGTTTGATTTAGTAAGGTTTACGAGGTTATGTATCTAGATGGTTCGAGCACTCAGGCCAACGACACCGCATTACTCGGGAGTTGTTTCAAGGGCATGTCGCATAATAACTCCAATGTTTTCATCATGCATCTCAACAGAAATAAAATAACGAATTTATTCCGAATTATTCCCATTTTTTTCAGAATCAAATTGTGAGAAAACTAATGAAAAATTGAGGTAGAAATTGATATTAAAAACTAGAACGCGTCGCAGTTCTAGCCACTGTGATGTTGATTTCTCGCAGTCACATTTGATCCTCAATCGGGGGTCAATGGAATCGTGTAGATTGAGAGGAAATTAATTTAGCCTTTACTCACTGGGTGTGACGTTGGAAATCCGAAAAAAGAGTCTGCCATTTGATGAAATTAAATCTGCAAAATGTCATGTTCCGAGGAAACGTCAAGCGCTGGAAAAGACATTAGCTGTCATGGCGGATTGCATTCTCGTGGGGTTTCGCGAGTGTGAGGTAGGTGGCAGTGCGATGCCGTCTGGCGGCTTTCATTGGGCGAATTGTCGGCGATTCGAGAGTTTTGAATCTCGTCGTTACTGTTTTCTTTACGTCTGTCTACCGGCTTTTCTTTGTTAACGACAATGTTCACGTGAAAAATGAGGGCCAGAACACCTCGAGCCTTTTGTTGTTGAAATCAGAGGACAGTTATGCACTGCAGGGTCTGAAGGAATCGTGTGTGTGTTGATGACGATAATAAAACCGCCAATTTGGGTTATGATTCGTGGGCAGCCGTGCGACCGAGTGCGAGTTCTCTCCTTAATTAATTTAAACTTTTGCTTGAGTGTTGATTACGAGTAAAAAATTCCCAGTGTAGCCAGTGCTGGGATAGTTTTTGGACACTGCATGTGGTTTAAAAATGGTGGAGGGCAGTGTCGGTGGCAGTTGAGCCTTGGCTTCGCGGGATGAACAAAGAAAGTATCGTGCGTGTATTTTGTCGATTCGATCAATTAAAATTTGTGTTTGTGAGTGCGTTATTAGTTACAAATGTCGAGGGTAAAAAGTGTTGGCATATTTCTTTGGAGATACCGGGTGGGCTAGCAATGAGAGAGGATAATCCCGGTTGCAGTTGAGTCTTGAGTCGTTGGATTCCCGAAAACATCGGTTTATTGTTCCTGAGGTGATACAATTCCACTGTTGGCGATAATAATTGGATCGGGGTATGATTTGTGTTTGAGTGTTGATTATGAGGGAGAAATTCTCAGTGTAAACACTGTTGGCATGTTTTTTGGACACATGTGGATTAAAAATGGAAGACAATGCCGGCAGCAGTCGAGTTCTGGCTTCGCGGGGTGAACAAAGGCAGAATCGTGTGTCGGGTGAACAGGTCAATTGCTGAACGGTTAAGGTAAATTCGAGTTTCGTGGTAGAATTTAAAACAAAAGAACCACCTAAATGGGTAGATGATGGAAAAATATTATTTCAAGTAAAAATAACAAAACAAAGAGTAATTCAATTAAGAAGTAGTCGAATGCAGCTGAAAATCCTAATTTATTCCTCCTCGGGTATATTTCTTTTATTTATTGAACGTCGATCAATAGAAAAAACAATTGATTACGTGATTGTCACTAGTAATATTATTGAAAGATGAAATAATCAGTACAATTGTAATTTTATTATTTAAGGGATAGTCAATGGAACTTGAAATCGTTCAGTAACGGGCCTGTTGTCCCTATTTTGTCAATTTCTCGAGGTGATAATAATTGTGAAGGTGTTTCATTAATCTCTAGTAAATAAAGTCCGATGTTTAACATATTTCGGTGAATGGGCACATCTTCAATCAACAATTATGAAAGTCATTTTATTTTTTCTATTAATTAAAGTGGTTGTGGTGCAGTGAATCAACAGTGTATACTTCCATTTTATTCTATTAAATCAAATCTTTTTATTAATCAAAGTGGTTGTGGTGCAGTGAATCAACAGTGTACACTTCCATTTTATTCTATTGAATCCATAAATAGTGATAACATGTGAGAAAGTGATAAAATGTGGTGATAACATGTGCTGTGTGCCAGTATACCCAACATTTTGGATTACCAATGCTGGAGAGAATGCTGGTTGCAGCACCGGTGAGTCGCATGGTTAAAGTACATTTCAGAGACGCGATGAGATCGTTCCCCGCGGTGAACGATGCACTGCAATTGCACCGAGTCGCACTCGTCCGGTAAAGAAGGTCAAATTAAATAGACAAAGAGATGAGCGAGAGCGACGACAGTCGAGAGTCGTTGCCAGTCCGAGCAACACTCGCAATCTCCTCCAACTTGCGTTGCATTTTCCGGAGTTTTTCTTCGGAATTTTCAGTACAACATTTTTTTTTTTGTGAAGTTATAATCCATTCCCTCGCGGATTGGCAATAAAGCGATTTTTTTATTCATTCAGATTTTACCCATGCCGATTTTATTCATTTAACTCTCTCTATCACGTTGGAGCTTCCAATAACAGTGATAAGATTATAAATAAATTCGATAAATTTTGACTCAAAACGTCACTGCAGTGATCCCTGCACTGCACATTTGTCGGTGCAGAGAAGTCATTTCTGATTCGACGAAATGTTAATTCGTATTGCACTCGCATTTCGTTTAATCCTCGCGGTGCAATCGGAATTTCATGGCAATGTGTACGTCGTAGAGATCGATTCAAAAGTGCCCAGTGCAAATTTCGGTCGTTTCCTCCCAACCTGGGAGAGCTTGGACGCGAGGGAGCTCCCCAAGTGGTACGACAATGCCAAGATTGGGATTTTCATTCACTGGGGAGTCTACAGTGTTCCCAGTTTTCACTCGGAATGGTTCTGGAACCACTGGAAAAGTATAGAATTAAAATAATTAGATAACTCAAGTAACTGCCATTTAGTAATAATTTAGCAATAGCTTTTAGTTCATCTATCAATTCAAGATTAAATTACAGCCGAATTAGTCACCCGAGAACTGAGAGATTTCATGAAGAAGAATTACAAGCCAGGTTTCTCGTATCAGGACTTTGCGCGTGACTTCACTGCTGAATTTTACGATCCTAATGAGTGGGCTAGATTGTTCGAGGCCTCTGGGGCCAAGTACGTCGTTCTTACCAGTAAACATCATGAGGGGTACACCCTCTGGCCCTCCAAGTACTCCTTTAGCTGGAATGCTATGGATGTTGGACCCCACAGGGACTTAGTTGGTGAATAACTCTGGCTTTTTGATTTGTTTCTTCGTTCAGATTATTCATTTCGGGGATAAATCTCAGGAGAAATTCCATTGGCATTCCGTTGAAATTCTGTTGGATCTGGTTTTTATCGATTTCTATTGAAAATTCAGGAATTGCATAGTGCGATTTTTTATTTTGATCGACACGAGACAGTGAACTGATGTTGTTTTTTCTCTAGAACTCGTTTTTTTGCTTTTTTTGCACATCAACCTTCCAATGTTGTTTCTCTTGCATTCTGCAAAGAGAAAAAAAAAGTAGCAGAAAACAGTGAAAAAATTTGAGCGCAATGATTTCTATACAAAAAAAAATCGAAAGAAAATGCTGAATGAAAATTGTTGATTTTATTGTATAAAAAATCCGCTGACAAATCGCAGTAAAATCGGAGGTGGAAAAGTTGCAAAATTTCTCAATATAAATCGAAAATAAAAGACGAATAGGATTTGCCGGCAGAAGCACGACGTTTGTCTATTGAATATTTTCATACATCTGATCCGACTCATTCAGGGGAATTAGCGGATGCTGTAAGAGCTAACACAACCCTCCGTTTTGGACTCTACCACTCCTTCTTCGAGTGGTATAATCCCCTGTACCTGGAGGATAAACGCAATAATTTCACAACTGACAAGTTCATGCAGGACAAAGTCATACCAGAAATGCATGAAATTGTCGAGAAGTACAAGCCCGAGGTGTTCTGGAGTGACGGAGATGGAGGTACCTCGGAGGAGTACTGGAAATCCAAGGAATTCATAGCTTATCTGTATAATGATAGTCCTGTTAAGGATACAGTTGTTGTTAATGACAGGTGGGGGACGGGAACTAATTGCGAGCATGGGGACTTTTACTCTTGTGCTGACAGGTTCAATCCAGGTAATTGGATTGTCGAATTATTTTTTACTGAATTTCAGTACACACTACAAAATTTGGATGAAAAATACGTTTTTAAAAATTTCTTTTAAATCACGAAAAATGGAAAAGTTCATTTTTCATTTATTTGAATGAAAGAATAATTTGTAATCTTTTCCTTCAATTTTTAAATCAACTAGTGAAGAAGTTTCTCTCTATTCCCTGGAAATCATCGTTTCCAAAGGAAATTTCGTAGAAAATATTCAGAGAATTAGATTTTTCTATACAATTTATTCCATTCAGATATTTTCTATGTAAATTCCTGGGCTCAAGTTTTTCACGTTTTTTCAATTGATTCTTTCAATGAAAAGAGAAGAAAAATAAAAAAGGATGTCGAGGAATTTCCATGGAAAATATCTCAATAGAAATAATTATACAGAATGATCGAATTCTACTTTATTTTATAAAATAATTTCCTGTTATATATTTCTGTATAAAGAACCGTGCGGTGAAGCTTCGAAATGCTTCAATAGAATGGTTCAAAATCTGATGGAATTTTCTGCAGAAATTCAATAGAAATCCGATAGATTATTTTCGTGCGTCTTGTTATTCATCTAGGGCATCTTCTGCCACACAAATGGGAGAATGCAATGACGATTGATAAGAAATCATGGGGATTTCGTCGAAATGCTGCTCTGGAGGATTACATGACCACTGAGGAGCTTCTAAAGCAGTTAATGAGTACTGTCAGCTGCGGTGGTAACTTGTTGATCAATGTTGGACCCACGAAGGATGGGATCATCGCGCCAATATTCCAAGATCGTCTTTTAACCCTAGGCAAACAGTTCTTCAATATAAAAAACAAAAATCTACATTATTAAGTTGTCACGGTGCTGACGAGATCTTCTCGAATTCATAGGTCGTTGGTTGAAGGTGAATGGTGAGGCTATCTACAATACTTCACCCTGGACGACTCAAAATGACACGGTAACAGGGGACACTTGGTACACAGCCAACGCAGACTCGAAAACACTTTATGCAATCGTCCTGACGTGGCCAGAGGACGATACCCTGGAGCTTGGGGCTCTAGCCCGTGGTCGATCATTCAATTTCGAAATTCTGGGTCATTCTGGACAGATCGAAGTCAGTAAAACTGAATCGCAATATAGGTTTCTAGCTCATCCAGTAGAGCACTTGAAAAATAATTATTTTGTCGAATTCTAGTGGCAAGAAGCGAAAGACAGAATACTTGTGAAATTGCCTGCAATAGCTCACAGAGGACAGCCAGCGTGGACTCTCAAAATCACATGAAATAGATCATAAAATGTACTATTCAATAATCAGGTCATGGAAAACGAAATTATAAATTTATTCGACTTGGAATTTTGGTTTGGAATTTCTTTGGATTTTTTTTGAATTCTCTAAACGAAGAGAGAATCTGCAGCGAAAATCAATGAATATCTTAATACAGGGTAATCAATCGTTCGATTGCTTGCCACGTGACGGATAAGATTATGATAGCCAACATGTCAAAACTGGGACAAAAAGCAAGATCTAAATAATAATCAAAATAATATCGTGGACACACTAATTCTCAACGTTTCACTACTTCTTTGAAGCAATAATTATTTAAAAAAATAGAATTATTTCCGGCGCATTTAGAAAATTATGAAATGTAATATAAACATGATTTGGATTATTCTTTTAATCATTTCCGAGTGATTAAATGTGTTGAATCGTAGCCACAGTGATTTTTTTTTCTCAATTCGCTCAATCGCAAAATTGCGATTTCCCATATTGTTGCCGGAACGATAAGATTGAAATTCTATTTGCGTCAAGTATCATGCGCAGACCCCTCCGTCCCCTCCGTCAGCTGATCACACAACACGAAAAAATATGCATATCTCACGACATCCACCGGTAGTGCTCACAGTGCAACAGATGGTGCACCACAAAATATTTACAACTCAGTGAAGAACAGAGAGTTGAATATCAGCGATAAGTATTTCGAGATTCTAATTATCTCTCCGAGTATACGAAAACTTCCAAACAATAAAAACAATCTCGTATCTTCATTGTCATCAAGCGAGTAAAGTCTGCTAATTAGATGCAATTTTCAATCAATCAACCCATAAATCCTCTGACTTATTTCAGAGCATCTCTTGTATCTCGGGATTGTTAACCACACGGATGTGGATAAGATTGTGAAAGGAAACATATAAGAAGCCAAACGAAGAACAAGTCATTCATGCCGAAAAATCAGTTACAAGTCATTAAGATGGTACTCCGCGTGTCACTTGGCCTTTGCCTCATCGCACTGGTGCAATCAAAGTTGGATCGGAATGTCTACATCATCAATAATTACGAGGACGAGCGTGACGTTTCGAGCGACTCCACCGGGAGCTTCGTCCCAACTTGGGAGAGTTTGGACTCGAGGAAGATTCCCAACTGGTTTGACGACGTTAAAGTCGGAATTTTCATCCACTGGGGGGTCTTCAGTGTCCCGAGCTTCGGGTCTGAGTGGTTTTGGACTAACTGGGAAGGTCTCGAGTCAGGATTCGATAACAGGAATAAATATCTCAGACCAGCACAAAAGTTTGAATGTTTATTTTGCAGGGGGTTCGGTAACAATCCAGGACTTTATGAAGAAAAATTACAAGCCAGGATTCACGTATCAGGACTTTGCTCATGACTTCACTGCTGAATTTTACAATGCCACTGAGTGGGTGGACTTGTTTGAGGCATCTGGGGCTAAATACGTTGTTCTCACTAGTAAACATCATGAGGGGTATACACTGTGGCCCTCGAAGTACTCCTTCAGCTGGAATGCAAAGGACGTTGGACCCCACAGGGATTTGGTTGGTCAGTAAACTGCCTGTTACCTTCAATTTCCTGCATCAATGATGCACATAATCACTCGAGTCTCATTCCCAAACAAATAAATTCATGCAGGCGAACTGGCAGATGCTGTCAGAGCGAAAAAGGACATGCATTTTGGACTTTACCACTCCTTATTCGAGTGGTACAATCCATTATACTTGATCGACAAGGCCAATAACTTCAGCACTGATATTTTCGTTCAGAGTAAAGTTCTCCCAGAGATGTACGAAATAGTCGAGAAGTACAGGCCTGAAATAATCTGGAGCGATGGCGACTGGGAAGCTACAGAGGTGTACTGGAAATCCAAGGAATTTCTCGTCTGGTTGTTCAATGAGAGTCCGGTTAAGGACACTGTTCTCGTCAATGATCGATGGGGCATTGGCACCTCTTGCAAACACGGGAGTTACTACAACTGTGCTGATAGATATAATCCAGGTAATTTAGTCGCCGAGATCATGCAATTGTGTTTCTGACCGCATTGACAAATTACATTACATTAGGAATACTTTTGGAGTACAAATGGGAGAATGCAATGACAATTGACAAGAAATCCTGGGGGTACCGTCGAAATGCTCCTCTTGAGGATTATCATACCGCTGGAGGATTGCTGGCGGAATTGGCGAGCACTGTCAGTTGTGGTGGTAATATTTTGATAAATGTGGGACCTGCGAAGGATGGAGTGATTCCACCCATCTTCCAGGATCGGCTCAAAGCAATGGGTAAAATATCTGGGTTTTAATAAAGTTCTGTGAATTGGTCGTCTGGATGATTTATTATCGATATCGATTCGGTGAATTGACAGGTCGTTGGTTGAAGACTAATGGCGAAGCTATTTATAAAACTCGGCCATGGAGAACCCAGAATGATACAGTGACCGGTGATACTTGGTACACAGTCAGTGCAGATCACTTGAATCTGTACGCGATAGTCCTCACGTGGCCAGAGGACAATGTTCTCAAACTTGGTGCTCTATCGCCGAAGGAAAAATACTTGTTCTCGATGCTGGGATTCTCAGGGACACTCAAGGTATTATGACCTGGAATTCCATCATTGATTGAGGACAAGACCGAATTAACAGCGATAGCTGGCGAATGATATGTGGATGAATGATAACAGAATAGTGATGATTTTTCAATCGTTCTCCTTCCAGTGGGCGCCCGAGGAAGACAGAGTCGAAGTATATCTCCCTCCAAATGCTCACAGAGGAGAGCCAGCATGGGTCGTCAAGATCAAGGGCCAAAAATCAAAGGATCTCTATCAAATATAAACATATCACAACATTTTCTTCATATTTTTTTTATTAAAGGCGTCTTCGAGACTAATCTTCTTTTATATGTAAGCCAGTTTTATGAATGAACATTAACAAAAGTGTAAAATATATTTCTCATCTTTCAAACTCTCAACATCCTCCGTAATCCTCATTATAGTACGTCATCGTTTCACAGGCGAGAGACTTCGTAGAGATAGGAACCCAGCAATTTGGTCTGCAAGCATAATACGAAATTGAATCAATTAATCCCGGACATTTTTCACGGGGTGGGGCAGAATGGGCACTTGATATTTTTTTCGATGTTCATGGCTCAAGGACAAATTCATCAATTTAGTTTAGTCTGGGTTCGCTGTAAAGGGGAAGGATTGTAATTTTTGGGGAAAAAATTGCCCCTTCACTTGAAATTCAATGAATTATTAGAATTCAAAACAAATCAAAGTGTTCATTTTGTCCCATTCCAAGCGAAACCGCAGAACTGTCTTCAAAATTGAATAATTCCAAAACTATGACAGAGAATGCAAGTCGATAAACGCCATTTGAAAGCTGAATAGTGTAGCTTTTTACATATGCGTTTCATAATTTTTCCCACGTCAGACTTGGTAACAAAACAGCGCATACGTGAGGAGTCAGCAAACATAAAAAATCAACTTACACCCTGAATATAATTCCGAATATTGAGCTTCTCATTCTGGGAATGTGCTCCATCATCTCCACAGCCAACTGGCAACAGCAGTACATTTTTCCCAGTGACCTCCTGGAAGGTCAGTGTAACAGGAATGGAGCCTCCCTCCCTCGACAAATCAGGATCAACCCCATAAACGTACTTGGTAGCCTTCCTGGCAGCGACATAATGTGGATGATCTGGGTTCTCAGTCCAGGGTCTCCCCGCATGTCCCATGACAATCTTCATACTATTCGGACTCCCCCTCTTCTTCCACTCCCTCTCAAGATGTGCCTTTACCTTGGCCTCAACATCTTCAACCTTCATATCAGGAACAATTCTGATCGAGAACTTTCCGATGACCTTTCTCGGTATCACAGTCTTGGCCCCGGGTTCGCTGAAGGCACCCTCAATTCCATGAATGGAGAGACTGGGCTGCCTCCAACGATGCATCAGCAACTGGGTCTTGTCTTCGTTGTGAGCTAGTCTATTCGCACCGACTGACTTCTTGAACTCTTTGACATCGAACTCGATATCTTTGTAGCTGTCGAGCTCTTCATCAGTCAGTTTGGCAACAGAATCGTAGATCCCCTCGACCTGGATCTTTCCATTGACATCGACCAAAGTATTGAGCAGATAGATGAGATCGCTCATGCCCTCGTGCACGCACCCCCCGAAGGATCCACTGTGTAAATCGGCCTTGGCACAGCTGACCTCAACGTGGAAGTAAGTCAATCCGCGAAGGCCATAAGTGATGCAGGGCTTAGTGGTGCCCAGCCAGTAGTTGTCAGAGATGCAGACGTAATCAATGTCAGTCAAGAAGGAATCCTTCCTCTCCCAGAGGAGTGTGTCGAGCCCCTCAGACCCACACTCCTCCATTCCCTCGAAAATGAACTTCAGGTTCACTGGGAACTCCTCGCCAATGGCCTTGTACCCTTGGAGTGCGTGCAGCCAGCAGAGCACTGGACCCTTGTCGTCAGTGCTGCCTCGCCCGAACAGCTTATCGTCCTTTTCGACGAGAGTGAAGGGCTCAGTGTCCCAACCATCCTCGATCAAAGCTGGCTGGACGTCCAGGTGTCCATAGATCAGCACTGTCTTCTTCTTTGGATCCTTGGGGAGTGAGGCGAGGAGAACTGGGGGCAGGGGGAGGATTCTGCCGTCCAGAAATGTCTCATTGCCGATTGGAGCTAGTTCTGTCTGCGCTCCAAGCTCCTTCATCTTCACCTCCATCCACTCCATCATCTTTATGCAGTTGCCACGAGAGTCTGGCCATGATGACACCGACTTTATGGCTACTGCCTCACGGAGATTGTCGATGTATTCCTTCTTATGTTGGTCTATGTAGCTGTAATTAATTATGATGATAATTATTGTTAATGGAATCTGGGATTGGATATTTCAGTCAAATAAAAATTTTTATTTGGCATTTTTTTATTTGTTGTAACAATGTGTTTTGTGGCTATTAATTAACTTATAAGTTTATTTGTTTAGGGATGTTTTAATTATATGGAATGAATAATTTAATTATTCCAGTTGAAGATTTTTAATATATAAATATAAATATATAAATAAATGAATTTGCGTTCTTGAGTTTTAAAAGATGACTTACAACGAAGATAGTGATTGCTATTATTAATATTTTATTCTGAAATTATGGTAATATGGACAGAAGTCTAAGATACGCTCAATAGATTAGGAATTGCTGACATGTTGGTAAACAACACCTCGGGAAGACATTGAAAATTTTATCATTCGTGATTAGTCTGCTGGAATAAACATGAGCCAATTTACTTAACGGACAATCCCTTCAAAGTGGGGGATTTTGTTCTTTTGAAAAAATAGTTTTCGTCAATTTTCAAGTTTCTTCAGAATTTTTTTTTCAAAGGAAGATATTCTATAGAAACAAATCAATAGAATCCAGTTCTTCTATGTAACTTATTTTATTGAGATATTTTCTGTAGAAATTCCTCGGCTCACATTTTCTCAGTTTTTTGTTTGATTTTTTTTATTGAAGAGAAAGGGAGTGGAAAAAACTACAGAAAATGTCTCAATGGAGAAAGTTGTATAGAAAAATGAAATTCGACTGATTTGTTGCATAAAATATTTTCAGTTGAACATCTTTTATTTAGAAAAACGTGCAATAAAGCCATATAATTCATTGATTTTTCCGGTAGAACTGTATTTTCATGAAGTTAATTCTCGGGTTTTAATTACTATATTCAGAGTAACATCAAGTGCTCCAGCTGTCATGAAGATAGTGATTAATTCATCTTTAGAGAACAAAAATAAAAAATAATTTTAATAATTATTAAATTATTAAAAATACAAAAAAATGGTGAATATTCAAGACGCACAACAGAAAAAAAACTGGAATAACACCTGAAGATATGAGTATTTTCTTTTGTTATGCACACGATAAGATAATATTCGGGACACTTACCCATAAAGTTTTTGCAATACTGCAGGCACTTCTGACGCCATGATCCTGTTCTGTTCCGTTCTTGAAAACCTTGAGCGTTGAATTATTGAAGATCAACTGGAAAAATGAGTTTAAAAGCGGAGGCGTTGGCACTACAGTGAATAAATGACTAATTAATCTTATCAATTGCTATCGCGAAGGCGGAGCTTGAATTCCAATTGTTCAAGTTCTCCTCGTAATTATCTGCAAATGAGTGAATTGACGCTAACAGCAATATTTCGCCGGTGATTATGATGATGACAGGCTGTTTGTCTGGTTTATTTTGTGTTTCTCTTTCGCTTTTGTATTGAGTGTCGATACATGAGAAACTGCCTGCAGCATTCTGCTTACGTGGGCATCAAGGTTATCACTTTGCCGGTTAAATCCATTCGTTGAAGTTTTGGAGTTGTTGATGATTTCGGGGCCATTGATCTAGAATTTTCGATTTTTTTTCTATATTTTTCTTTAGTGGAGTGAAAATGACGGTCAAGATCAAAGTTAAGGATAAGCTGGAGGACGAGACCCTTGATCTGAGCTGGTGCGACCTTAAAGAGGTCCCTATTAAGGAAATTGTGAGTAACCAGATGGATTTCGGAGCATTTTATGTTAACGAAATTTTGGGATTGATAATGTATGAACATTTCATTTCAGGCGACGATTAAGAAAGCCTCGCATTTGGATCTGTCTAACAATCAGTTGGTTTCTATTCCTGTGAGTATTACCATTTTACCAAAAATAAGGAAGATCGGTCAAGTTGAATTAAGTTTGTGATTAATGTCTGTTAATTTACGAAAAATAGGGGAATCTTCTTTATGGATTTTTTATAGAGTAAAGTGGGGCCTATAGAAGAGATTTACGAAGATTTGGGTATTTGTTTGCTATTACGAAATAGTGAGCAGAATTTGAAATTTGGAATAGGCGAGGGAAGGGTAAAATGAGGCGTTTTTAGTCATAAATCACTCAAGATCATCAAAGTAGAATGTAAAACTTGATAATAAGAGGAAAGTGAAATTCCACAATTTTTCTTTGGATTTTTTGCAGTTCAAAATTAAATCAGATTTAAAAAGGGTCATTTAGACTCCGTTTCCCCCAGGGAGTTCACTCATCTCTTTCCATTCATGTATTCCTGAATTTTTAGAATATTTATTCCTTGATTTTTTCCAGAAAACAATTGTTAGTTTAACACATATTGTTAAACTCGATCTCAGCAAAAATCTGCTGACAGAAATACCTGAGAACATTGGAGAAATGAAGCAATTGAAGTATTTGGACTTGTACAGCAATCAGGTGAAGTTTCTCTAAAAATTCTTGGGCCTGAATAATCCCACCTTTCGGTTCTTAAATTTCTACTTAGAAACAAGAAAAAATACAGTGGAAAAAACTTTGAAAATTCATTATTTAAGACTCTATTAGGGAAAATTTTAAACGAATGAGTCAAATTTCTATTAAATTTCCACAGAAACACAGTCGAACTTTCTTCAAAATTCGCTGGATTGTTCTATTCAAAGTTTTCATACTTTTCACAGTAAAAATTACACATTCTGAGTCCAATATTGATTCCGAATTTTGGTTTTAATTCTAAACAACGAAATTATTTTCCATCTTCCCTTCTTATTTTTTCCTTTTCCTTTTAAAAATTGGCTGTTAAAATATTTCTCTCATTTTTCTTACATTTTTCAATATGCATTTGCATTATTTATTTATTAGAACTCCTCCTGTGGAAATGACATCATGTATCAAACACCAGTGAATATTTAGTTGAACAATTGAATTGATTAAAAATTTTGGTTAATAGATCAGTAGATTGCCACTGAGTATGGGTGATTTAAAAAATCTCAAATGGCTGGACCTAAAGGACAATCCACTGACATCAGCTGTTGCCAGTATAGCTGGCCCATGCAGCAATACTGTTGAATGCCAACAGTGTGCTCGCAGTATCGTATCGTACCTGACGTGTATTAGGCAAATGATCGAGGAGGAGAAGAAGAGGAGGAATGAGGCATCGACAGCTGCAAGTGCACCTGCTGCACCGAGTAAAAAAGAAAGCAAGAAGAAGAAAAAGAAGAATAACGTGAAGGATGAGAAGCAGAATCAGAAGGAAGCTGATGTAAAGAGTTCAGCAAGTCATGGGAGTGTCGTGGATCGAAAAACTCAGCTCCGTGGACAGAACAGGGGGAGATCGAGTGAATCATCATCAGGAGGTGAATCACGAATTTATTTGTGGAAGTTGTCACAACACTGTTATTGTTTTTCTCCTCGTGATTCATTTCACTAATTGAAATTATTATTTTTAGGTGTTTGTAAGAGCCTCTGCAGAATGTTGTGTTCAACCCTGACATTCATAATTTTCTTAGGAATTTTAAGTGTCTTCGCGGGAATTCTTCTTCCGAGATTCAATCAACCTCTCTCTGATAAAGTCTTCACTTATCTTGAGGATCAAACGAAATTGCCAGTGAAGGAGTACCAGAAACTGGGAATTGAGAAGTTTGACGCATCCGCAGAAGTCTTGATGACATTTCTCAATCGGACGAAAACTCTGGCATCAGAAACTTTCGCTAAAATAATCGGCGAACAGCACAAATGTTGTGGGAATTGATAGAAAAAAATTTAATATCTCTCTCGGGATGAAGATTGCCTTGTGATTGTCGGCTCAATGAAACAGAATTTAATTGTGTAATTAATAAAAATTTGTTACCGAAATAAAATTAAAATCACACAATAATATGAGCTTTGATTATTAATTAATGCATTTAATCCGTGCGTTTTGAAACATTTTTTGAAAATAAATTGTCGGGCATGTGAATATCACAAATGCGAAATGAAATTCGCCGCGTAATAATCTTCTCAAAGAAACGAACCCCAATCATCAAATTCAATATAAAGAAATTTATTACCGAAATAAAATTATCATCACTTTAATACCGTATCATAAATCTCTTACTTACTAATTAATGACCATCACATCTACTGTTAAAAGGTGGAATAGGAGGTTTTCCAGTGATATTCAACGCATGCTCCATCTTGCTCTTAAGTTTATGGAATTTATTGACTTTGGGATCGTTGCCATCCTCCCCAGACTCCACACTCCCCTCGAGCCCCTCTTCACTCTCATTCTTCTTCACCCCATTTCGATCACTATTCCTCTTCCCACTGGCGAACCGGCTCCAAACCTTCGCGACATTGTTCGCAGCTCTCTCAGAGGACGACGAGGAGCACGCGGAGTCCCGCTGCCTCGCCCTGAACTGATCCCGAATAGCGACGTCGTCGTAGAGCTCTTCCTCATTCGTATCGTTCAATTGACCCAGGTCAATTGGATCCTGTGCTCTGGGCACTTGATAATGCTCAAACTCGCAATTATCGTTGGTCGGGGGTGATTCAACGCGCTCGGTCTCACGCATGTGCCCAATATCATCGTAAATCTCTTCCTCAATTTGCAAAGGGGGGCTCGAGTACACTGGTCTGGGGGCCGGGGGACACGTGTAATTCTCCTGCTCCTCGATCACGTCCCTTCGCTCGGGTGACATCCCCCGGACGTCGTCGTACGTCGGCAGCTCCTGGTCAGTCGTTCGGGAAGTCTCGATCACATTCTGCTTTTCCTTCTTCTTCGAGTCCTCCTTCTTCGGGGATTCCTTTTGCCCCTTGAACCTGTCGAAGAATGATTTCTTCTTCGGGGAGTCTCTCGTGTTCTCCCTCTTCTTGCACTCCGCTGATCCCACCTCGTCGTAGGTTTCCGATTTTTCAGGAGTCAGGGGCTTTGGCTCCGTCCCCTGGATGTCGTCGTACATCTCGAGGTCTGTCTTCTCCGCTGAGGGACTGGGGTCGGTCTTTTTGCTCAGCGGCTTGAGGTTGATGTAAGTCATTCCGGCTTTCATGTCTTCGATCGTGTAGTATATGTCGTCTTTCTCTTCGGTAATTTCGTCGGGCGCGGGAGTGCGCGGGGCTGGTGTTTGCGGGAGGGATGGAAGCCTCCTGGGGATCCTCGCTGGGAGCGGAGGGGGCGAACTCGACGCAGCAGTCTTCGATGATTTTTCCGGGGATTTCTCGTCTTTCTCCGGGGCTTTGGGGACCTTCGGCTTCTCTGGGGTCTTCGTCCCTTTGCAGGATTCCGGCACTTGCCCGATGTCCTGGTACTGCTCCTCTGACAATGTGGAGTTGGAGTCGAAGCTGGGAACTAGTTGCTCGAAGAGAGCTCCTTGAATCTCGGCGCTTGCCTTTTCGGTCTGAGGTCCTGTTCCCAGGCGGTTTATCACTGCTACCCACTGCTCCATGTCCTTGGGCGCGCGCCCGATGTACTGCAGGGTTTTACTGCCCGGGGAGAACACCTCGAAGACTGATTTCGAACGGTCGGGGTCCGTGATCATCAGACTTGGCGCTGGGCGGGCTGAGAAACCCCGGATTGACGAGATTTCCTTCGGCTTTTTCGCGTCTTTGTTCTCGTAGGTGAGCAAGTAGGTACCGACTAGGCCTGGAAAATTGGTAGAAGTTCATATAGTTGTACTTCACGGAGAGAAATGGTCAGTAAAAATTACGGAACGCTCGGGAAAAATTCCGTGATTGTAAAATTTCCTATAAATACATTTCTATCATTATTTAAACTCATTGAAGATATCATTATTTAAACTCATTAAACATACGTAATTTTTATTGAATGTTTCTCTCCGTGTTGAAAATGTGGAAATTACACGGAGAGAAATTTCTCAGAAAAAGTCAAGTTTTGGTACTGGAAAAATTGTAATCCATCGGCTATGAAAAATTCTAGTGCTGTTGAGGTAAATTCTCCAGGGATTCCAGGTACAATATCCAGGAATTTAGGTGAAAATTTTATGTAAGAACAGGCGAAATTCACGTGCTGCTCAGTAAATTTTTTAGAAATGAAAACTCTTGGAAACAAATCCACGAAAATGTTTGATGCATTCTCTGGTGAATCACGGTTGAATATTAAACTATAAAGATAACGTGTGGTCTCAGGGGACAATGTCCGACAGCATTTTTTGTTGCAAATTTTATCAACCGCGAGGTATTTTTTTTCCATCATTTTCTCCTGGAATCACTCGCTCCAGAGATATCCGCAAAAAATTAATCACAGAATGTTTGACTCATTTGTTGGTGATTTGTTTTGATTCCCTCATTAAATGTTGAATTATCTTGGTTACGAGTCAGAGAAAAACATCACAAGACTTTTTCTTCGTAAATTTTAGCAGCTGCAAAAAAAGTCTTCTCACATTTTCATCTAAAATCCCTCTTTTCAGAGATATTAAAAAGAAATTTAAACAATTGAAAAAAAAATCGCAGAAATATTTGACTGATCCGTTGGTAATTCGTCACTAATTAAAACAAAACGAGAAATTTTAGTTGTAATTGGAAAAACCCCCCGTAATTTTCCCCTGAAACCGCATTTCCCAGAGCTATCCCCAAAAAAACTCGGTCCAAAAATGACTCATGCAGTGTCTATCCGTCATATTCCATCCTCGACCGTTGAATCATCCCAGCAGAATTTTTTTTCTCCTAATTCAATCAATTATCGTCGCCCTTACCAACCCAACACGGTCGCTCCCGCAGCACAGCCTTCATAAAGATATTCCTCTCATCCTTCAACTGCTGAAGAGGTCCGCACTTATGGCATTTGCTCCTCGTCTGTTCCGCCGAAAAACTCCTGTAAATCATCCTCAATTGCTCCTCCGCGTCATCTTTCTCAGTCACCAGGGGCGGGCTCGCAGGGGCATTGCCAAAGCTCTCATACTCATTCTGACACTCTGAAGCCTCCTGCGCCGTAGCCTGATGATCGGCATCAATATACTCCGTTAAATTCGTGTCATCTAGATTATTCAACTTCGGAAGCACTAGGGCTTTTCCCTTTCCAGGCTTCATCTCCAAGTATGGCTCGGGCGACGTCGAGTTTGGAATACGAAGTTCCAGACTCGTTCTCGACCTTCTGAGCAGATCAGATCGAACATTCTCGAGGGACTCGGGTAGCTTAACGTCGCACAACGTTTCCAAGAACTCCACGAGATCTAAAAATGAAACAAAGAATTAAAAACGGAACAACAAAACGTTCAGCTCCTAAAAATCAACGAGTCAATTAATAAATCCGTGAAGTTATTGAAACTTCAGTATAAATGTTGAACACGATGAAGACAGTAGAGTCTAAATAAACTCACCGCGAAGTACAGTGACTAGATCCTCATCAATCCCCATCTCTAACAATATTTACTCAATCCTCAGAGGTGATAATCCATCGTGCCCACGTCATTGACACACAACCGATCCACATAGCTGAGAGTCGATATAAAACACTGCCGACTCATGTAATTCACACCACAACGAGCTGCACAATGCCTTCCTCAGCGATAATAACTCAACTGAAACACAATATTCCCATCAAACTGAACATTGAGGCTTGCGCCGGATACCAAGGCTGATAAAATCCCCCGGAATTCCCGGTTTATCAGTTACCCTGGCATCAGGAAGTCCCTCGATACTCGTTATTAATCGGACGAAGACGACTGGACAACGCCTCTAGCATCCGTCATCCTCGCAATTTTAATTAAAATCGATAAATGGCTCATTAAGAAGACGCGAAACCTGATTTATTCAAAATTCTCTACTTACTGAATCAATACTCAAGCGGTGACAAATGAGAAATTAAGGAGACAGTTGATGCACTTGTCGCAGGCGTTGACTCTCACATAATAAGAGACGAGACACGCGAGGCACTACACGTTTACTCCGCGCGACTCCCGCTGAGAGCAAAATAAAAATTACGGGTAAGGGGAAAGAGTAAAAAAACATCACCGCAACTGGCCTCACGAAAGGTTCATACGTCACGCGTAACACAGAAACGTCTCGGTATGCAGCAAAGTACTTCTTCTCCCTTCTACTTCTTATTTCTAATGTACATCTACTAGTGCACATGAGTATGAGTCAGACTAGGATTTTTAATTCGTGTCAAGTGCTGGAGTCTTTTAATACATCGAGCGGAGTGTATTGGATGGTAATTAATTGGATCGATTGAGTTGGCGATTTGTTTCGTTGAGGAATTAGTGACACTCCCACGGGCTCTTTCCCGGGGGCTAAATTGTTGTTCCTTTGGCGCCATTGAAATGCGTTTTGACGTTTGTATTTGGAAATGGAAGCAACAATTTTGTTGTTTAAGAATAATTGTTATGACTTCCTTGAATTCCATGATATTTTCGGGTTAAATAACTAGGGGAGCTGGAATTTCTTCATGCAGAAGCGGAAATTCTTATTTCTAAAGAAATTAATTGATGGAAAAATTTTCATTTTGTTACTTTTTTTCATTGAGATGCTTCTCAGCAAAAACCGAAGCGTTTATTTTATTATTTAAACTTTCGAGGTCTGACTTAGATTTTTTCGTTAGGTGACTGTTAATGATGTTAATGATGGTTAGGTACTGTTAATTATATTTTAGGAATAATACAATGAGTTCTCCAAAATTATCAAAAACGAGTGAGACTAAGCTTTTTAATTCTTCTTTTAATACAATGGGCGGAGTATATTGAATGATAATTAATTGGATCGATTGAATTGGCGATTTGTTTCGTTGAGGAATTAGTGAAACTCCCACGGGATCTTTCCACGCGCTTTCTCGAGGGGTTTCACGTACATGGAGGACGCAATGTCTTCGGGCTCTGGCCAGGGGTCAACCTTCGCTTGCTCCAGTTCAGCGTCCACTTGTTTATTCGTGGATTTTCGCAGCTCCTGCGTAGGTTCACGGAGAAAAAAATTTTGATTTTTAGGAAATTCTCACTGATTTTCAAGGCGTGGTCTTGAAAATGAAAAAAAAAAACATTTTCTGTGTTCATTGGAATTTTTTTTGGTGTTCGTCTATTGGTTTTTTACCGCAACTTCAGGTTCCGTCATTAGCTGTTGGTCGATTGAGAATTTGATGAATAACTCTATCGGGTCCTGGCTCTCCTGCACGCCTTTTATCTCCTCACGCGTGCGATATGCAGTCCCAGGGTCACTCATGCTGTGCCCGAAGTAACGATAAGTCTCGAATTCCAGGATTATTGGGCCACTCTTCAAGGCGTGATCGCGAGCGAATTTGCAGACTTCGCGGACTTCTAGGAGATTCATTCCATTTGCCTGATGTAATTGTTGGTAATGTGTATCGAATTGATATTGCGTACGTCGTCCGTGCGCATGGAGGGAAAAATTTGCTGACAATCACTTATGATTTTGTAATCTTGTGGCGCATCGGAATTTGAAGATTTTTTCACCAAAATTGTAGCAAAAAATTCGATAAATTTCTGTTTAGAAATTATATGCAGAATTTTCTTTTTTTTTCTAATTTTTCCATACATTTTTGGATAGAAATCCAATTGAAAAAAAATTCAAAAGATGATGAGTCTTCCTCAACAACTCTTGGGCAAGAATTTTCCATATTTTCTCTCTAGGGAAATTTCCACACAAAAAATAAATATTTATCGATTATTTCCTATCGAATATTTATTAGTTAATCGCACGGCAAAGTAGGGTAATTTTTAATACGATTTTTTCACGGATTTTTGCGTGAATGTCTAGATTTTACCCTCCATGCATTATCACATTGATGAATAATCCCGTTGAAAAATTGTTAAATTGTTAAAAAATTGTTCAAAATAAATTAGATCCCGTAGCTGATCTAATGCTTTCATTAAATTTAAATGAAATGACATATCCATGCCTCAGTAAAGCGTAACAGATAGTGGGTATCACAACCTTAATTCCCGGAATGCAATCTCCTCTCGTGTAAAACGCGGGATTAGCAGAGTGACGGTCTACAGAAGTTCCCATTCCGTACCGATTATTCTCGCAAATGAATACCGCCGGGAGATTCCACAACTTGGACATATTCCAGGCTTCGTGGATTTGGCCTTGAGAGGCTGCACCGTCCCCATAGAGAGCGAAGCAGACGTTGGGCTCGCCTTTGTATTTATGGGCAAAAGCGATTCCCGCTCCGATTGGAACCTAATCGTGAAATTGTGAGAATTAAAGGGGAAATTGGAGAAACATGGGCTGATTTTTATGGGGGCATTTTGATGGGTTCTATCATCCTCTCACCTGTCCCCCCACTATCCCATCTCCACCGTAAAAGCCCTTCGCGTACATGTGCATTGATCCCCCCTTGCCACTCGCGACTCCAGTTTTACGTCCCATTAATTCGGCCAACACGTCTCTGGCAGACACTCCGAAGACGCACGCGATTCCGTGACAACGGTATGCCGTTATTACCGAATCACCATCGTCGAGGGACATCTTAAGACCAACTGCCACGGCTTCCTTCAAATTCATGACATTTTTGGGTCAATTGATTATGGGGGGATTGAATTTATTCATGGAGAAGCGAAAATTCGCATTTCCAAGAAAATTTATTCGTATTTTGGTATTCTTTTGCCATTGAAATGCTCTGCTTTTCAATTTTTTATACTCAAAAGTGAAAGCGACGTGGTTATTATTTAGAAGAAGCAAAAATTCTTATTTATGAGGGAGAGAATTAAGTGATCTGAGAATTATACTTTGGTATTTTTTGCTTTTGAAATACTTTTCGACATTTTTATTTCAAAATTAAAACGACGATTTTATTATTCGAGAGTGACTAACTCTACTTCGTTGACGTTTATGATATTTTTCAGTGAATTAATTATGGAGTGACTTTGGTATTCGTTTGCGGTTGAACTGCGTTTCAACATTTGCATTGAAGTATCAAAGAAATAATTTTATGTTACTTAAAATTCCCAGGCCTGAATTTGATTTTACGTTTTAAATGTTGCGTTGAAATTTCCATTGCAATTTTGGAAATTTTTATCAAGTGACAGTTCCACCGGACTTTCAAGTAATTTCGTCATTGCAAACTTACAGTTTTATGGAAAAATCAGCAGAATCTGTTTATATTTGTTTAATTATTCAATCAAAACTTATGCAAAATACAAGAATTCAGAGAAATGTATTCGTGGATTTTGAATTGATTGAAATTTCAGCCCAATTTGGTACTAACTATTCGTGTTCTTCATTTCATAATGACAAGAATTTTGTCTAAACACAACAAGAATGTTTTTTTTTAATGAAATTTTGAAGAAAATTGCATTTTAGCATTTTATTTGCTCCACTTCTGAAGCATTCGCGACGAAAACTTCACGCAGAATTCTTCAATTGAGCTAGTTTCACTTAAAGACTTTTTAATTTTTGTATATTAAATTTGTTAGATCACTTGGATTGATAGATGATACCTGTCCTGAATATAAATGGAGGAAGCCATTTATGAGACGTGCCAGATACAGCTCAGCTGCCTTCCTCTCCATCCGACGGATGTACATCATCATCTTAAGTGCTGTAGTGGCTTCCTCCAGACTTATGGTTGAGGATTCTGCAGGGGGTTTTTCTAATTTATATAAATGTTCATATTTCTGGAGAGAGAAACGTTTAATTTGATTAATTGAATCGTCATGCTCCCGAGATTTGAATTTTTTTTTTATCCATCATTTTACCAGATGCATTGTGGCTGTCTTAGAAACAGCGTTAGTAGAATATCGTAGGAGAAATGGAGGAAATTGCTGGAAGAATTTCGCTCTCATCATGATGTTATTTCAGTATTTTTTGGTTAAAATTCAATTCCAGCTCTAACTACTCCTCTCGATTTCGTTTGTTTTGAAAATCGCAATACCTAGTCCTTTCAGGAAATGAAACCATTTCATTTTAATGAAAAGTCGAAAGGATTTCCAAAAAAAATTTTTACCTTCAGCATAATTTTTTCATTGATTTTTATTGTTTTAACCGGTTGACTCCTCTTTATTATTATTTTTCCTTATATACATGCAAACAACACAATTCCTCCTTAACCACTATTCCAAAAAATAGAAAATCTCAGAAATTCTCCTTCAGTTGAGAACATTCTTGAAAGTGTTAACGCCAGCCCACGACAATGCCAAATGCCCCAGTGAGAAAAACCGTTTAACTTGTCTCCGCAGTGATCGCATTTTTACCTCCCCAAGTCGTTTAAACCGGTCACGCGATTCGATACCGACCCCCTAAGATTCTAGAAATTCATTGCGGATTTTATCGATCCCCTCCCGAGAAAAAGCGCATAAAACTTTACTCTCAATGATTAAACCACTTCCCTATCACCAAATCTTCAAATATCCCCACTGAACACGATCTTCTGCACCCTCGGCGGATATAAAACGCGCCGTGTCCAAGGGTCGGTGTGAAAAATCCTGAATTTACAGGATTTGCACCTGGCAGCGTGAAGGAGAAACGTCGCAGACTGCTCCCACCACCTCCTGGCGTCACTCCGCCTGGTCTCACGTACTTGAGCGCTGAGTGAGCACTCGTTCTTCGCGACCCGTTGGCTGTACTTCGGACAAGACAGCCTGTCCCTCCCCCAGGAGAAGCCACTGGACGCGTCATCCACAGACTGCCTCCTGGTTCCGCGATTATCGGACCTCAAGATGAACGCATGAGTTGGAGCTGTTATTCTCCCCAAGCTGATGGTCTTCTTCCCTTTTCTCTTCTTCTTCTTGCCCCCATCAGGACTCTTGGGCTCTTCCTTGAGTGGCTCCGGATGTTCCGGACTCTTGGGCTTGGCATTGGGGTCCCCAAAGAGCCCCCGGGACTCGGCGACTTTGATCATGAACAGGGAATTGAACTGCATCATCTCCTTTCGCCTCACCAGTCCCAGATAACACCCGTTCTGAGACTCTGGGATTGTTACACTCGATTCGTCGATATTCAGGTCGTACATGTGACCAATCTCAAACAAATCGCTGTCAGGCACGTGAATGTCTGTCACAATCGTAATCTCCGCGTCTTCCTCTTCCTCGTGAGAACGACTTTTCGAGTCCTGGTGGATCGACGATTGCTTCCCAGCTCTCGAAGACCTGCCGGCACTCTTGGGACTTGTGTCTTTCGGAGATCTGCGTTTCGTGTGCTCTTTCCTGTACTTGTCGGTCGCTATTTTGTTGGCGTAATCAACCACCTGCTCCACCATCTCCGTGGTTTCGGAAGGGAGGACACTGTGAACTTGGTAGATCAGCAGCTGGACGTTCGGCCTCGTCAGGGCGTACTTGAGGCTCGAGAGCTGCTCCGCGAGGAGTCTCTGCGGCCTCTCCAATTGGGACTTGTCGTCGACGGTTGTGAGGGATTCTAGGAGCTCGGTGTCACCTCCGCGAGCCACTGATAAGTCCACGATGTCTCGGATACCGGTGTAGCTGCACGGGGGAGTCGCCAGGACTATTGTGGCTCGCTCCATCTCGGAAAATCCGGGGGCCTCGGAGTATTTCTCAGCGAATATTCGAACCTGCAATGGATTTTTTTGTTCGGACGGTGAATCTTCACGGAAAATACTGTTGAATTCGGGATAATACACTTGATTCGGGTTTTTTTGGGAATTTTTTGTGGGATATTTTAGTTTAAATCGAGAATATTTTATTGTTTAAACAAGAGGATTGAGTCCTTAATTGAATATTTTGATTTTCTGAATTCAAAGAAGTATGGTTAAGTGTCGAGGCCAAAGTGATTTACACTAATCGGTGAATTCAACACCTTCGATTCTCACGATGTTGCAATTTATTGAAAATATTACGAAAAATTGTTCTGGACTGAACAATCAAATCTTGACCCTCAAGGAAATTGATCGAAAATAATTCAGGTGATTCAGTCGTCATGTGAATTTATTTAGACATTCCGTCCTTGAGTCGAGAATAATTTATCATTGAACGAAGAATTTTAATTTTTGATTTCAGTTCGATGAATCTACAAACTCCACTTCATTATTAATTTTTTCATTTAAATCGTATCGAGAAACCGAAGAATTCCAATTTCGTGACTGGAAGATTCACGGAAGAGGAAACGAAGATTCCAATTCCCAAGAATGTGCCAATATTCAAGAAAATTGACTGATTTATGAATAACAAAATCAATGGAAATTCCGCGTAAATTATTCGTTGTTAAAAATTTCAATATTTTTCACTTGAAACTTCAAGAGTAAATTTCTAACAGTGTAGTTCATTACGAACCTCGCGCTCCGTGAACCCCAACTCGTGGAGATAATTCTCGTACTCCCCTCGCTGGAGGCCCGCCCCAAAGGCTAGAAGTCTCCCAGCCTCTTCGATATCCGCGAGAAGTCCCGCGAGGTATCCAGTGTGTCTGGGGGCGACCGGATGAGCCAGAACGATAGGGCCACAGAGCTTCCCCTTGTTGACAGCTCGCACCAGTGCCGCCGCTCCAAGACAGAGAGTCCTCTCCAGAAAAACGAAGCTCTTGGTCTCCACCAGGCGCGACATCGCGATCCTCTCCCGAGTTTTCTCGTGAAAATCCACGACCTTGGGGCACACCGGGTCGAATATGTAGCTGTCCTCGCCCAGATCCTCGCTGCTTGCAGCTAGTCTCAAGTTCAGTTTTGACATTTCGTTGATGAAGTCGGATTTGCTCGGGATTTTCAGCGTGTTGACCCACCCCGAGGCGATCGCGTTCTCGTCCGTCCAGGAGACACCGGTGGAATTTCTCAGGTGAATCGGGAGCAGGTGCTCCAGAGTCAGAGCTGATCCCCCTATCCGGAGCCTCGAGACACTCGCGGCTATGCGCGTTTTCCTCTCCACGAGGGCTTCCTCGATGTCTTCGATACCAGCTTCTCTGAACGCAGTGTCTCGAGCTGCTTGGATCGTTGCTTGCGGACTCCTGGAGTACCTCCTCCCCTGCATGTCGTACAGTAACAACCACACGATCCGGTCGCGATTCCTGAAGGTGCGGTATTTCTTCCAGAAATCTGAGTCCTCTAGAGTTTGGTTCAACACTTGTTTATCTGGAATCATTGAATTTTTGATTTTTTTATCCTTATCTCGGATTTTTATTCTTGATACTCAATTGCGGGCTTTATTTGCGGCTCTTATATCTGGGTTTTCTTATATTATGATGGGATGAAACGAAAATAAATAGCGAAAGATTCATCCAAAAAAAAAACATTATTTGTTTTTAAGATTTCAAAGGTCTCAAAATAATATTTCCGAAAGTCTTAAGTTGAAGGCTTCAAAAATCTGCATTTAAGGCTTCGATGGAACTTCAATTGTCAAGTTCATACAAAAATGAAAATAATTGAATTAAAAATTACGAAAAATTTTAATGATTATTATTCTGAATTCTCAATCTATTTAAAATTAATCAAAATGTAATGTTCGATTCTCTCAATAAGTTAAAAAATTGAAGCAAAAACTCAATTTTATTTAATTTCCAAGACCAAGAAAAATCAAATTTAACTCAATTAGTTGAATCGAATCCACAACATTGAAAATTGATAGTAACTATTACATAAATAAAAAGCAATAAATAAAATATCCTGAGGGGTTGATTTCTCCTTGTCGTTTCTCCCGCGATGTCTCGTGAATGATTCCGCATACTTACACCTCAGGACATCGTAAGTCAGTCCAAATACTCGTCTCATCTCGGCCTCATCGGTAAACGTAATGACTTGCGTTAGAAATCTCTTCTGAAGGACTTTGGCAGCTAGCAAGATATCGTTGACTCTCCAACGAGGTTCACTGAATTCCTCCGTCATCGATCCCGAGTCCAGAGAGGAATCGAATTGCTCTAGACTTCTTTCCCTGGCTGCCTCCCAGAACGACATGCTCGCGCCAGTGGGCTCCCATTCAAAGGTTTTCGATAGAGACATTTGTTTGAACATTACCGTTCTCGGCTCTTCCAACGTCTCTCCTTCCTCGCCCATTCTCAATCTATCGGAAATCAAATCGCGAAGCAATTGATTTCATTTATCCACGAATTAAATAATTTTTTTCGACTTTCTATGAATTTAAAAATTCAAATCCTGAAGTCATCGCATTTTTTCATGCATTCGGAAAATTATTGCATTTAGAGACAAGTTTTTTTCTCATTTTCAGGAATATAGTACTGATTTTTCGGAATTTATACTAATTATTAGAGAATAAATAAATATAAATTTAGTGATGAATTCCTAAAAATTAGAGATGGGCCCCTGAAAATTAGTGACACAATCCCCGAATTTCAAAATTCCTAAACATAAAGAATAAATGTCTAAAAATCAGTGAGATGTCCCTGAAAATGAAAACTTTTTATTCTCCCTGTTCTCTTATAACTCATTGTTGAAACGTGAATTAAAATTTCCTATGGAATTGAATATTCCTCACGTGGTTTCCAGTCCCGAATCGATTTCCCGTTGGAGATCGACTAGGCGATAATACACCTGATACCTCCATTCCTCGTTGCTGGGTAAAACCAGGGCCTCAAGCTCCTTCTCACGGTCTTCCTCCTCGGTGTACTCCACCTTCTCCTTCCAATTCGACAACATGACCTTGAACACTTTAGCATAAACCCCGAACAAATTGGTCCGCCAGGAGGCCCTCAACTCCTCGGACTTCCCCTCCTCCTCGACCGATTCCATTTTCTCTAAAAATTTATGAGGTATTCGTTATGTCCGCAATTGGAGGAGAGGTACTAGTGACTTGAACACATTGGAGACGGCTCGAGGGTTGAACGGAGACTGCAAGAATATTCAGATAAGGCGTCGTTCAACTCAGCGACGTCGCGTGTCCCGGAAACATCTCCGTTTGCATTTTCATCCATAAATAAAACGATTCTGTCTCGCGGAAGAACAAAAAATTTACGTCTATTACAGTTTTGATAGAAATCAGATGGTACGGGGATTTGAATCAATAGATGATAGTGTTTTATAATTAGAGACATTTGTTTTTTCTTTCGGTTGAAATAAGTTCGTACAATGCGAATTTAATTGCAGAATTATTATGAAAATAGGCGAATAATTGATTCATTGATATTTGGAGAATGCCGAAGACATTCCAGGATAATAGAGTCTTTTCTGTTTAAAAATATTCTGCAGTTCAATCATAATTGACTTCAACTAATAGTAAAATTGATCCGAAAATCATAAAGTTTATCATCTAATGAAGTAAAACTCAACTCTACATGATTGAAAATCGATTGAGGTATTGAAGCATTGTAATGAATAAACTCGTAAACTTCATAATTAAATACATTTAATCTCTCCTCCAGTTAACATACATCTGTACAATCCGTACTCGATTAAAACTTCATTAGTACCCTAAATACAATTAATTCATCAATATTAAAAAAATATTAAATACATTTATGTATAGCTGGCAGTCTCTACTGGTTAAAACGCATCTCCGCAATTTCGAAGGCACATAGATCATTGCATTCTTCCATAATCTCAAAATAATTCAATTGACCCCTTTGTATTTGGTGAAAAGATTGTAAAGCACCCGAAGAGTGGACTTGAGATCTAGATTGACGATGTCTTCGGGTCGTGCCTTGGGCTTCGGCAGGCCCACGTCCTGCATTGAATCAAAGTCAAACGACACATTATGGACCTCGAGAAACCCTCCAGCAATCCAAGAAGTAAATTCAGAAAATTGCATTCTCATTCAGAAATCGCAATAAATAAATCCATAAATTCGACAATTGAATAAATTTAATCTCTTCTCCAGTTAACATACATCTGTACAATCCGTACTCGATTAAAACTTCATTAGTACCCTAAATACAATTAATTCATCAATATTAAAAAAATATTAAATACATTTATGTATAGCTGGCAGTCTCTACTGGTTAAAACGCATCTCCGCAATTTCGAAGGCACATAGATCATTGCATTCTTCCATAATCTCAAAATAATTCAATTGACCCCTTTGTATTTGGTGAAAAGATTGTAAAGCACCCGAAGAGTGGACTTGAGATCTAAATTGACGATGTCTTCGGGTCGTGCCTTGGGCTTCGGCAGGCCCACGTCCTGCATCAAATCGAAGGCAAACGACACGTTGTGGACCTTCTGATCAGGCGACTGTGGGGTCAAGTGGAAGCTGCCGAGCGGCACGAAGAAGCCCTCCAGCAGTCCCAGCAGCAGAGTGAGGAAAACACCGTCATGGAACTGCGTGTCCAGGTCCGTGACTTCCAGGTGGACTTTGCTCAGATGTTTGTTCACAAATGTCACCAGTGATTTCTTGACAATGGCCAATTTGTCGTGCTCCGAGTCGAAGAGCGTATCGAATGCGTCCCTCTCGCAACGCATTCCGAGATCATCGTATGTTGATGTGATTTCCTCTCGCACGGTGCGATGGATTAGTTGGCCGTCCTTCTTGCGTACAACGACGACCTGAACGGCCACCCGTTCTGGGAGACGCACCGGTGCGCGGTACTGACGTGCAAGACCCACGAGAAGGTGGAGAATGGGGACAATGTCCTTGGAATGTACGGATTCCACGCTCCATTTGTAGGGGGGATAGCGACCCAGGACGCGATTCGCCGCGGAAAGCACAACCTCGAGTTTTTGCTTCTGCCCTTCTTCTGATTGTGTTACCTCCGGAACGTCCAATTTTTCACCTGTCAATTTTTCTGGAAAATGGGGAGATGAAGAAGTCGTTTATCTTTATTTGCTTGGTGGAATGAAGGGAAATGATTTTTCTGGAGATAATGGTAATGAACATATTGAATGGAGAGTGCTATTCTGTTATTCTCATTTTTTTCAATTACAAATAGATTTGAGAGGAAATTATTTTTCTACTTCTCTTCCGTTTATTTCTGTAGAAAGACGAGAGTAAAGAAGTATAAAAAAATATTTGTTTTGATTTTTCGGGTGACACAAAAGCAATTGTCAGTCAAAAGAGAATGATTTTTCATGAGATAATGATAATCATAATAAATAATTCGTATTGACTTTGAGATTGAAAGAACAAAAAAAAAAATCGAGGGAGAATAATTCATCTCCTGTTACATTTTCTGGATAAATATGAGGAAAAAAAGTTATTCATCTTGATTTTGATGTTATAAACAGGAGGAAAAATAAAGAAGATTCAAATACATTAATTTTCATTTTAATGTTAAAAACGATTTTTCAATGCATCTGCCAATTTTCTTGGAGATAATGAAAACAAATAAGGATGAATGACTAATTTCGATTTGAATAAAAAAACCACAAGAACTACCTCGTTAATTCTTCTAGAAAGAATGGCACTAGTCATTTATTTCTAATTTCGATATTAACGCCAGAAAAATTATAAAAATAATCAAGAGAGAATAATATTCCCGGGATAAATGAGAATAAAAAAAGGCGAAGTCATTAATTTCGATTATCATATTCTCCATTAAATATTTTCCCTATCAAACATTCTCTAACATTCTCTAACAGAAATAGACAAGGAAACTCTAGGATTTCCCATTCAATTTCAAACACGAAACCTGAAATTTATGATAAAGTTCACCATAAATACCTATAAGTTTCTGGAGCACTTGTCCATCATACAAGTCCTCCACAATATCCTTAACGATAATCCTGTGATTAGCAAGTTCATCGTTTATCCACTCAATGAGCACGAAAATAAGCTCCTGCACTTTGGGATCTTCGAGGGATCTCGGCTCAATCATCGATCGCTCCTCATTCTCATCGAGGGCGTAATCCTCCGGAAGGCTGTCCGGATTGGCGGCTAATCCGGGCGAATCGATGGCATATTTTCCCTCCTCTTGGACCTCTTGCACTGTACAAAACACAATGTCCTCGTTATATCAGTGAATTCGCGCACAATTTCGTTATGAAACTGTTGGGCAATCGTTATGGAGCACCGGGCCTTATAAGGAAATCCCCCGCAATCGTTAATAATCCTAGAATTTATTAATTATTTCAATTTTCTTCGATATTACCTTCCTTTATCCTCTTCTTCCGTCCCAGAGTTCCAATTTTATCCCAGAAACTCTCCTCTTTGTCCTCTTTTTTGACTGATAGAGGAGTACGCGGTGATTTCGGTCTGGGAGACGCCATAGCTACTGTGGGAATAAAAACAGCATGATGACGGCATACGAAAATAAATACGTCATCGGTCCAGAATAAAACCTCTGGCCGAGTTTGTGGGGGTCTATAGTACCTGCACACTACTGTATATTCTGGTGACGCGCCGCGGGAAATGGGGAACAGTCGTGGAGGGGAAAAATGACTGTCAGTTCTCGGTTATATGACGGGATTCCGAAAAAGATGACATTTAACTGCGCTGCGAGAGACAAATTGAAATTTCGTGGACAGTTCGGCGGCAATTTTTCAGGCGGCGACAGTGAACGCGATTTAGAGCAGTTACGGTCGTCGTTTAGAGAGGAAAAATCATGAAATTTAAAATTTTATAGAGAATTTAATAAAATTCGGAAATTGGAAGCAGCAGGGAGCGAGAAATGCAGATTTAATTGAATTTATTCTCAAAACAGGAATATTTAGCACCAAATGAAGCTCAATTTTTAATTGGTTGAACATTTAAGAATACATTTCGTAAATTTCCCTAATTTCTATTAATTTTCATGAAATAAGTGAACCGAAATGAAATTTTGGCCAAAAACTACTAGAAAGTCCGCTAGCAATAGAATTGTCTAGCCAATTTGCTACGTTTTTCTATGAAATTTATTCAAACGTGTTACCTTCCGCATAATCATTCTCGCTCTCCTCATCCCCATCTATCGACGCATAATCATTCTCCGGTACCGGAATATCCTTGGGAGTGACTCCGATGATCTTAGGGTAAATCCCAGCGTCTTCCTCGTCCTCCGACAGGTAAATCGTCTCCATCACCTGAGGAGTGTGAACAGTCTCTTTCATGAGTTTCTTCATGTGATCGGGGGGCACTTGGGGTTCATTCATGTTGAACTTGCATCTGCAATCGCAGAATTTTCACAACTGAAAGGGACTCCACCGACGAAAGGGGCAAGGAGACGAGGAAGAGGAATTTCCGGTGAAAGATAAGGGAAAATGTGAGTAATGAGTTTCGGAGTGATTTGAATGGGGAAAAGGGGAATGGACCGTGCGTGAAACGGGTGCGCAGTGGACTCAATGGAAACATGTAGGAGAGCAAAACAGTCGGCTCCGAAACACTGTTTAATTGTTTAAATAACAAAATGTCAGTGCTTATTAGATTGAGCAGAAGAAATGGGTTCGCGGTGCCATCGAAATTGCAGTGCGTCGCGTATTCTCTGCCGTCTACTCCTTTGTCGATAGAGGAGGATGGGATGATCGGTAAATATAACCTCAAAATATTTCTACAAGTTTCACATTTATCTGTGCATTTATTTTATTCGCAATAGAACTCGAAATGACTCAAACTAAAACACATCAAATTCAATTAATAAAAAGGTGAAGCATAATCGCGAATATCTTCCGACCAAACGATACGATTTGGACGAATCAGGGCTCATTTTCAAGCCTGAAAAACAACCTTCAAAATGAAAGAAAATCCCTGAATTCCACTCTGCCGATGTCGAGCTATTGACGATTAAATAACGTCTGTTTTAGAGAGGATCATTAGAATGTCCCCTCTTCAATCGTTAATAACCCGAGATAGGCTGAGTGAAATTCAAACTTTGTTTCTTCATTTTGAAGGTATTTTTTCCGTTTTTAAAATGAGCCCTGACTCATTCAAGTCGTATCATTTGATCCCGAGGTATCAAGGCAAAAATGGGCCCTCTTTGCTTCACTACACCCCCATCGCTCTCTCCCATTCCATTTTCCCATTTATCTACTGAATTATTGATTAAAAAAAGATACAACAGTCCTGAGTGAATCGATCACTTCCCCAGGTGAATTTCGTGTTTTGAGATTTATTCCAAAGAAGAATCAAGAAAAAAGAAAAGTGATAGAAAGGCCAAAAGTGCCTCCACCACGTGCAGATCAGATGGCAACAGACCAGGACTGGCCCTCGGTCTGGCCTGGCCCCAAGACCTTCCACCCAGCCTCAGTGCCCCTCCCCGTTCGTCAAGGCTACCCGAAGAAGAACGATGCACCTCCTGGTAAATTCGGTAACACCGAGCTCATGAAAATCCCGAATTTCCTGCATCTCACACCTCCAGCCATCAAGAGACACTGCGAGGCCCTCAAGCAGTTCTGCACAGAGTGGCCAGCGGGCCTGGAGGATGACGAGAAGTGCGAGAAGCATTTTCCACTCGAAGTCATCACGTCAGACTACTGTTACTCGTCTCCCTCCATCAGAGATCCTCTGGCCAGAGTCGTCAGTTTGAGGGTGAAACTGTCGTCTCTGGAGCTGGATGAACATGCCAAGGATAAATTGTTGAGGCTCCTGGGGCCTCGGTACGACCCCAAGAGCGATATCATTTCGATTGTTGCTGACAGGTGCCCCACGAGAAAACAAAACCTCGAGTATGCTGATTACCTTCTCACTGCGGTTTATCATGAAGCCTGGGTGAGCCATTTTTTATTGTTCTATTCATTCATTCTGGACATTGGGACGGGGGACATTTATATTCGGGGTTTGCATTGCGTGAGAGGAAATAAAATGGCAGATTAAAGTATGAGAATAAATCAAGGCAATTTGACACTTATAATGAAACTTATAACAGTAGCAATTAACATTTGTCATTTAGCACAGATGACGTGGTTTTATAGTTTAACATGAAATTTTTCTCCAACATAAAATCATTCCAACAACCAGTCAGCGTAAGAAAAAAATATCCAGGAATAATTTTTTTCAGTTGAAAAAATCGCTCTCAACAAGGGAAAATCCTCTGAAATTTCCTCTTCCATTCACTTATCAACGAGATAATTTAATTCTGAACGCCACGCAACAAATTAATTAGTCAATTTTAACATTCACATCTGGATTTTACATGTCTGCAGCGCATGGAGCCCTGGGAGGCAGAGAAGCAACTCGTCGACATGGAGTATTACGACTGGGACAGGAACAAGAGTCGTGAAACACTGGTGACAATTTACTCGTGGCCAAACGAACCCCCAGAGGATCTCAACTACGACACAATCCCTCACGTCACCGAGTACAAAGTTGCGGTGGCAGATTTAATCAACACCGGGGAGGATCAGTTTTCCGTTAATAAGTACAGGGAGGCTGTTAAGAATTTATTACATCTGAAGAAGGGTGCTGTAGAGAATTAAATTTATTGCCACAACAATTTCAGTATTTCATTATCAACTCGAACTCAATGCGTTTCCGTTTATTTTTTTTTTTTTGTGACAGTTTTTTCGTCATCAGTGTTGATGTCGTTGTTTGAGGCCTCCTAAAATGAATAATTTTCTTGTGTTTATCACAGACATTTATTCATTCATTCGATTTTATTATGACGCCAATTGAGGATCAAATTTAACTTCACGAAATGTTCGTTTTCGATTAGTACATACGAATTCGTCTAGAGCACGCAGGATCAATTCAATAGGATCTGGAGGCTCATCCTCAATTGAGGAATCTCTGCTGCTTATGACTGCCGGGATGATAGATCTGGATCTATCAAATAGGGCTGCGAACGACTGCAGTAGAAATGCGAGGAAGGCCAGAGATGCTAGAATACTGATTGGATCGAATGCTCTGAAAAATAACAGAAAAAATTATTTGACGATTTTAATGAACCCTCGACGATTGTTCGAAAAATTCTTGTCTTCGTTCAATTTATCAATTCACCATTTTGAAAATAATAACAAAAAATTATTCATGGAGTTAAAGTACTTCATGATTGTTTAATAAAATCAGATGTTCAGTTCATCGGAGGAACAAATGAATGAAATTAATGAATTGTTTTTCTTAAAATTCTTTTCTTTATTCGATTTATCAATTAATCACCTTGAGAATAACAACAGAAAAGAATTATTCATAAAGTTGAAGTATTCCATGATTGTTTAATAAAATCAGATGTTCAGTTCATCAACCGAACAAATCAATGAAATGAATGAATTGGTTTTCTTCAAATTCTTCTCTTTTTTCAATTTTTGAATAAAACTAGATGTTTTGTTCTTCATTCGATTTATCAACTAATCATCTTGAAAAAATATGAAAATACTTGAAAATACTTGAAAATACTATGAAAATACTTCCTCTACTCACGGATAGAATGCAGGACTCGTCCCACCATAGTAGCTCCTCGCTTGAACCCCCGAACGTGATTCATAACGACTATCACTATTTTTAAATTCTTCAATGAGTCCCAAGGCTCCTGCAATGAGATTCCTCGAAGAATCCTCCAAATGATTGGATTCAATGTGCGCAGTTGTGACTGTAGCTGTGATAAAGCCCAGAACGAATACTTTCCGGAGCATCTCTCAATATCAAGCCGTCATTTGGCCCAATTTACATGACTAACTGACATTATGATCAAGACTGAGCATCACGGGGAGACCGCATCCCTATATAAATCGTAATTACGTCCACTTTTGCATTCCGAAGTGCTCCAGTTGCTGGAATGATGATTTTCGGGTAGTTTTATGTCATTATGTCATGCATATTGTCCTCAGAATTCCTCCACCGTTACGAATCTCATTAAAAAAATTGTAAACTCTTCGTAAGATTGCACTCGTGCAATTACTCATCCTGCAAACGCTTCGGGTTTCTCGAATAAAATAAAAAAAACATTTGTCGCAACGAGAAATAAAACAGAATGAAATCTCAAATTTTTCTATTTATTTTGAAAAAATTTTTAGGGCTTAAAAATGAGCATTTACTCGTTAAAATCTCGTTTCATTTCATTTTATTTCATGAAGACAAATTAAATCCACATAAAATTTAACCATGAAATTTTGAATGCATTCAGTTTAACCAGACTACTCGTGGCTTAAGTCATTTCTTTTATCGCATATTTTCCAGTCACCAGACTATCTTATCTGAATACCTTTAGGCAGTGGCACCAAGCTCTGTCTACGTGATAAATCCTCAGAATAAATTTATATCAGGAGTAATTCATTTCACACGAATCAAATTACTCTTTTCAATTATTTATCATAACGATTTTTTTATTTTTATTCTTCATTTTCATTAGTTTTTGTCCAGTTTTTTTATTACTATCGTTAATTTTATATTTTTCTTTTTCATTTGTCTATCCCTATTAATTTTCTAATCGCTAGTGCCGTCATTAGTGCATGAGACATCGGAATTTTCGAAATTCCGTCGTCCCCTCGGTGCCGAACGTTCGCCATCTATTGTCAGCCGGCCAGTGTCCGGCACTCCGACTGGTTTCAACACTCCCGCTGAATGCCACATCGCAATCAGCCACGAAGCCTAACGTTTGTCAGTGTAAAACTCCCCGGGGCCACGTGAGACCTGCGAGCCAGTATAACCCCAGAGAGATGTCCAGGAAGTACTCAAGATAAAGCTGTCATCGCCATGGAGAGAAGCAGAACGATAAGGTTATCAAGTACGTTTCCTAGAAGCCTCTGTGAGACCCATGAATAATGGACCGCCAGTGATAATCGAAGAGCAAATAAAATTGCCCACTAAAAAAAACTCTAAAATCGTAACACCAGTGATCAGTCAAGATGCAGGTGAACGACAATGTCTGGTGGCTGCAGGTCGGTTCAGCCCTGTTCTACGGATTATCGTCTGTCCTGATAACATTTGTAAACAAAACTGTACTGACGTCGTACAATTTTCCATCGTTTCAAGTTCTCGGCATTGGCCAGATGTTGGCGACAATAGTCGTCCTCTCGTTAGCTAAACAATTTCGTTACGTTGATTTTCCTAACCTCGATAGATCGACGGTGAGCAAAATATTTCCCCTGCCCCTGATATACATCGGGAACATGATATTTGGGCTTGGGGGGACCAAGCAGCTGAGTCTACCCATGTTCACAGCGTTGAGGAGGTTCTCGATACTCATGACTATGATCGCTGAGTACTACATTCTCGGGGTCAAACCGAAAACAGCTGTTCAGCTGTCAGTTTACACGATGATAGTGGGGGCTCTTCTTGCTGCCTCCGACGATCTCGCCTTCAATTTCGAGGGCTACGTGTTCATATTTCTGAATGATATGTTCACAGCTGCTAATGGGGTTTACACGAAGAAGAAGCTGGATGCCAAGGAGTTGGGGAAGTACGGGCTCATGTACTATAACTCGTTGTTTATGATTGTGCCGGCTGTTGCGGTCGCCTGGTGGACTGGACACATTGACTCGGCACTCAAGTACAAACACTGGGGGGATCTCGTGTTCCTGGGGCAGTTTGGCCTCTCCTGCTTCATGGGGTTCATTCTACTTTACAGTATTATGGTGTGCACACTTCATAATTCAGCCCTCACTACGACTATTATTGGGTGCTTGAAGAATATCAGTGTCACTTATCTGGGGATGATTGTCGGGGGTGATTATATATTCTCGTGGTGGAACTTTGTTGGACTCAATCTCAGTGTTTTGGGGAGTCTTATTTATACATGGGTCACGTTCAAGAGGAAAGAGAGTGGAGAACCGATGTATTCGCCTCTTGGGGGACCCACCAAAGTGGAAGTTATTTGATGATTGGTTTGGGGGCATTAGGGGGGCGTTTGCGGATTTTTGGGGGATTTTATGTGCCATTGGGGTTGAGCTTGGGAGGATCAGTTTTTAGTGGAAGACTGAGGGAATAATATTTGATAGAATTCTGGTGAAAATTATGCTGCTCTCTTGTGGGTTTTTTTAAAGTAGTTTTCGGTACAAGAGTCAATCGATGTTGATTGTATGAAGCTGATACTAACAGAATATTCGTGAGTGGAAAATTCAATTTAGGGGGTATTTAAGTGTAGGAGAGTCAAATAATCATGTGTACAAATGTTTTTCAAGTGCGAAAGGGTTTGTACGTTAGAGGAGGACTTTTTTAAAAATATTCATAACTCAAAAACAGATTTATCAATTGAGCTCAGTGTAAAAACATCACCACGAGAAATCATTGTTTTTCAATTGAAGAAGAAAATTATTCCATTTCATAAACAATTCAACACGTCATGAATATTTCAAAAAAAATCAAACGTGTTCCTTCTACCCTACCCTCCCCTACTTAAAAATATTTGTACACCCCTAGATTCCCCTAAGACAAATCTTCTACTGTCGAATCTTTCGCTAGTTTCAGCTTCATGTTAATTTTTTTATTGTAAGTCTCGAGATTAATTTTTGAAGAATTTGTCCTGTTGAATTCTGTTGATTTTTCTTCACCAATTGGTAATGTTGCGTAATTTTCAATAGTCTTCAGCGAAAATAATTAGGATTTTTTGATAGAATTCTAAGATATGTTCGGTATAATATTCTGCGGCTTTGGGAGAAACGCTTTTGGTCTTTCACTTAAATGTTATTGGTATTCTGTTGAAATTGAATTACAAATCTAGGAGAATTGTACTCGATTGCTATTGAAAATTGTATAATTTTCCGAGGCGATTTTTTAACACTTATTTCGTAGAATACAGTAAATATTCATGTTTCTAGACAATTTATTCTGTTAGGATTTTGTCCATAGAAGTCCGTCGGCATAAATTATTCTATTTTCTCCATTTTGTGATGAGAAATGAAAGAAAAATATACCAAAAAGCACTTGGAAAATTAACGCCCAAAGATTTCTACTGAAAAATCAAAATCTGTCGACCTCGACTGAAAAAAAACTAGATTTTCCAACGCAATTTCAATAGAACGTGTAGTATTTCCATGAAATTTTTAAATACTTGTGCATTTAAGATTCTGTTCATAGTAGAATAATAATGTCCCAACGTGACCACAATTCAATTAAAAAGAATAAACCTGAATATATTGTAAAAAGTGTAGGATAGCAGAAAGAAAAATGTTTTATTCGCTCTGTGGTACGTTAAAAAGAACACGTACGTTGGGACCACTCCTCATTTTCTTCCACTTTTTCGTACGATACCAAAGCAAAAGTATATGTAAAGGAAAATGTGTACAGATAGTTTAATCATTGTAAAGAAAGATTAATAAACATTATGAATTTCACCAGAATTCTCCTGATTTTTACCACCTCAATAATTTTTTCAGAGGTTCTTCTGGGAAGAAGACTGCGCTCCACGTACGGTGGTGAAGCATTCATTGATGACTTCACCAGAAATCACGTGAGACTGACCAATCTCCAACGTGCCATTCTCGCGTGTGGCTCAGCAGCTGTGTCTCTCGCTGATCCTTTTCGTGCGGATATGATCGCTTGCCTCGGCGAGACAACCGGCAAATTTGCTTTACTCCACTGTTACGATAAAATGAAATCCACGGATGAGGGAATGAGGATATTAAATGAAAAACCGAGGATCAGCACCAGCACGCTCGACATGAAGTGGCTGGAGGAATTGCCCGAGGGGACGTTGGGAAAAACTTACCACAATTTTTTAAAAGTTAATGTAAGGAACATGAACTTCAATTAAGTGAAACTTTCTCGTAAGAGATCTTTGTTTCCCGCGATTTTTTGTCCCTTCACTTTGATGCTTTGAAGATACTTTGTGACGCATAAAACCTTGACTGGGCAGTTGACAGACATTTGACAATGATTTTATTATTAAAACTTTGCAGGTCTGAAGTTGAATCGTTAGAAAACATTTTAAATAGCCGAAAAAATTAGAAAGTTTACTTTCAGAGGAAGATAGATGAAATAATTGATTGATTGAATTAATTAATGAAATAATTGGAAGTGAGATGGAAATTTCACAACTTGATTAAATCTCGAAAAACAAAATGACACGAAATTTCCATTTTTCCCTGAATTTCCCTGATTTCTGTGAATTTCCAGGGAACAATTGAACTGAAAAATCAAGTATTTTATTGATGTTCAGATCATTTAAACAGAAAATCAATGGAATATTTCATTTTTCACCAAGATTTCCCGAAATTTCCGCATAAATTGATACGAAAATTGTCGCTATTGCACAAAATGAATAAAACAAAAAAGTTTTATTTTAGAACGTAACTCCAGACTCCCGCGATCACGTAAAATTCGTGAACGAAATTGAATTGGCATACGTGATGCAGCGTTACCGCGAGGTGCACGACATATTTCATGCGGTTCTGCTCATGCCAACAACAATGCTAGGTGAAGTGACAGTCAAGTGGGTCGAGGCACTGCAGACACGTTTGCCAATGTGCATCGGTGGTGCTGTCTTCGGTGCTGTGCGCCTGAGACCGAGGTAAAATACCACCTTTCAATGAATTCCTCCGTCAATTGCGTCATTGTAATCAAACAAACGTCATCCAACTTTCCTATTCCCACAGACAGAGGCAACTCTACACAAAGTACCACTTGCCGTGGGCCATAAACACCGGTAAGAGTGCTGGATTTTTACTATCAATTTACTTCGAGGAACGATGGGAGCAACGACTCGATGATTTTCACAGAGAGATGAACATCCAACCACTGGCCCAACTCGCTCATAAATAAACTCATCCGTTCCTTTAGTTTGCTCAATTAGTACACAGTATAACAATTTTTTTTTATTGATTGTAACACTGGAAATATTAAGAATATAATTTTCAATGGAGTTACGATATAATCCATATTACAAAATGTGTGTTTATTTTTCTTGTTGTGTATTATCCTCATTTTTCTCGTTTGTAGTACGGTAAATATATATGTTTTATATATAATTTTATACGTATTCCTACGGGTAATTTCATAAAATCTATAGACTACATTGGAAAAATTGCGGTCTATGGTGGGTTTTCAGTGCATTTTCAAACATTCCATTTCTCTTCATGTGAATTTAAACTCAGGATCGAATACTGTTGGACTCATTAATTATGTACAAACTACAAATAAACGGGTCTTTCCACTTTTTTTGGATATTTTTTCATCATTTTTTTTTCAGTTATAACAAAGCAAATACTGCGATAACAAACAACCTCACTTGAATAGATTTTTTTAAGTGCTAAAATTGAGTGATATTTCGTTTTTTTAATTCTTCATTTTATTTTTTTTATCGATACAACTCGCCCCCAAAAATTGATTGTCGTTTAATTGTCATTCCGGTAAATTATCATCATTACCGTAAAAACTAAATTGACGATATTAATAATGTGACATCAAGTTTATTCACATTTTTCGTCGAAAAATTGTGATTTTCGTTTAATTGATTATTCCTCCCAAGTGTCACACGTCAAGATTTCAGGAAATAAATTATAATCTAACATTTCACATGCATTCATATCACAATCTGATGATTGCATTATTCTTATCAGCGGAGCATGTCCTCAATTCTCACTTACAAGTTTATTCAACAACAGCTGATTGTTTTATTCAGGTAACACAAACGTACATTGGTTCAACTATTGTTGGGAAACTATCGAGCTGAGCTCGTCACTTCTGGCCATTAAAACTTATCGATTGATATCGATAAAAGCGTGTGGATAATGTACTCGAACAATTTACAAGAAAGTTTCCACTTCTATTTCATATACATAATGCCTTAAAATATGACTGCTCTGTTATTTATTTTCTTAAACTCCTATGTCATTAGTTCTTTATCTTAAAATGATATTCATTTCTTGAAAATGTCATGACACGCACGAGAAAAATTCCACGGAAAAATCTAGCGGATTGAATAGAAAATTCTGTTCCGCAGATTTACAACTTTTTTTTTAATAGGAAATGTCCAATGGAAAATCAGTAGAATTTCATTTTTCTTTACAACTTCTGTTCAGATATTTCTATAGGAATCTCTCGACCTGAATTTTCTCATTCTTTTCTACTCTATTTTTCTCCACTTTTCGTTGAAAACAAAATCCAACAAAATCCAACAAAAAAACCGAAAATTGGAGCCGAAGAATTTCTATAGAAAAATCATATTCTATCGATTTTTTCTGTAGAATATTTTTCATTGAACACTTCTATTAAAAATAAAACACGCAGATAAGCTGCGGAACTGATAAAAATTTCGACGGAAATCTAATAGAATTTTCTACCGAATTGTCTTGATTATTCCATGATATTTCATCCGTGAAATGCGTCAATAGCTTATTACGATAAAGATTAACTACCGATATGTGGACGCAACCTGAAGGTCAACTCATTCATTCTCACTTCGTCAAATAAAGCAAGAGCTTAATCATTAATTCGTCGTTGATGATCGCAATCTTACAACTTATCCTCTTTAATTCTATGATATCGACTGTTTCTAGGATGCCTCTAGTAGGAAATGCACAGAGATACAGCGCAGATAATTCTTATTTTTTTACGATTTTCTGCACATTTTTATGGATTTGAAACTAGGAATAGATTTGTCAGCAGAAGATTTGCCTCAGGGGAATCTAGGGCCGTACAAGTACTTTTGGGAAAAAACTGAGGAATATTCCGTCAGTTTCGGCTTCTTTTAGGTGAGTAGAAATATTTTTAAGACAGCAGTAAACTCGTTTGCACTTGAAAAAAATTTCTTCACGTAATTGTTTCACCCTTGAACCCCCAAAAATCCCCTGAATTGAAATTTCCACCGACGAATATTCCGCCTATTTCAGCTTCACACATTTTTTCTCTTGAAACTCGAAGAAAATGTAGCTTGACACCGATTATAAAAACTCTTATGTACCTTACAATGATATATCTCCATTTGTGATTAAAATTAGGGGTATTATACTTAGAAGATTGAAGATAAACCTAGTTGAGCATAAGTTAGTTGGCCAGAGCACTCCTCGGGCGTAACCATTAATTATCGTATCATTGATCGGAGGAGAATGCATCATAGCTGATTGTGTTTTCATTATTTGGTCCTTGCACACGTGTTGAAACGATGATTTCAGGATTATTTTTTCGTCATTCACAATGTTCAATCGAGGTTTATGCGTTTGAGAAACATATAAATGTCCTTGAATGTGGGTCTCGACTCGGCGTGCTTGTTCCAACACTTTGTCATCATTCTGTAGAGTTCTCGGGGGCATGACGACGGTTGGCCCAGTATGCGTGGTTTTTCTGATGTACCAGAGTGATAGCACTTACCACAATTTTCCAATACCTGCTCCGATGTCATGTCTGAGTAGGGTAGATCCTCGCAGTAGGTCAATATTTCCCATACTGTCGTTGCGTAACTCCAGATGTCGGCTTGACAACTTCGTTTACCCTGGTGGAAAATAATTCTGAATGAAATGTTGACTTTATAACCGGCAAGTGTTCTTGATACATATTAAGTCTTGATGGAATGAAAATAGTGGAATCCTTAGAAAAACAAATGAAATTTACTTATTCTGTGCTACAAATTCATTGGATTTTACTGAGATAGACATGTTGAAGAAACAATATTATTCATTTTTTAATAGTTGATTGCAGCCGTTTGAAAGAATCAGTTTCTGTGAAATTTTTACTCGAAATATTGGAATTCATCTAAAAATCAGGGGTTATTTTAAAAAATTCTCAAGTATTAATTTGTTAATTATTATCGGATACACTGAGAGAAAAATTTCCTGATATGTAGAGCATATTTACTTGAGAGGGGTGAATTATTTTCAATGGCTTAAGGACATTCAAGTGTCTTTTACAGTTTCATACAATCACACTATAGATTCAACCATTTTCAATGATCAATTCGTCAATTAAATTACGGGAGATAAATTTGAAATAAAAATAACATTAGAAAAGAATTATTATTTCTTCAAACATTGAAATTGTAAAATCATTCTTTGTAAATTATTCACAGAAAATGCTCGTAATTTTCAAAAATTGCAATTTTTAAATTATTTATTAAAAAACATGTTTTCCAATGGTTCAATATTGAGATGCAATTGAACAATAAACACTTAAACAATACAATCAATGAACAATGAAGGAAGAAAAATTATTCGTCTCAACTAAATATGTTTGATATATTAAAATTTTTTGTTCTCAGTGTAGAAAACTCGTCTAAACTTTCCTCTGTCATTTCCGAGTGTTCACCGAATTCCATTAACAACGAATGGACTACATGAAAATATTAGCAACTCATATTTACCAGCAAAACAGCTTCCCAAGCCATCCATCGTAGCGGTATCTTAGCATAACACTCATTAACGTAATATTCACCGTCGTATTTACTGCTGTACATAGCATGATCCGACACTTTAATCGATAAATTCTTGGTAATTACACAGTTTCGAGCTGCCAAGTCACAATGAGCAATGTTCAAACTCTCGAGGTACTTCATTCCAGTGGCAATTTGAGTGATAAACTTCATTAATCGACTGTAACTGTTGTTCAAAAGCCCAAATACTCGTTTTTATCGCTTTGAAAATTCAATACAACTACCATTTATAGTACGAAATGCTGTTTACTCACCTCAATGGGGCTTCGTTGTTTGACTTCTCCTGATTACGAATGTAATACGGCAAATCTCCATGCTCACCATATTCAAATACCGCACCAAACGGCTCTTCCTCCACAAGTGCCACAATCCTTGCAATATTAGGATCACGAATTTGAGCCAAAATGCACATATCCCTCATAAAATCCTTTCTGCAATTTGTAATAATGGAATAAATTACCCGAAATCACCTCCCCCCCGCGTTTTTACCTCTAAAATAAACCACATGTAATTCAAATGAAGGGAGGGATTATTTACTTCAGTGAATCCGTAACTCCTCGCCACAGTGACCTCACAATAACCAACTGTTTGTTCTTCATAGTTCCTGAATCCAAACTGTGAATTCCCTTTGCCTCGCACAAGTGAACAAATCCAAAACTTCCCTCACCAATTTTATCGCAAATTCTCAATCTGTGCCTCGATATGTGATGAATCTCCTGTACCTCAACGTTATGACGTTCCTCGATAAAATACGAAGTAAATAAACTGGAACCAGTGTGCTGTTCCCGTCTCTTTATCTGCCGAAAACCAAAACTTTTTTAATAAAACGCCCCAGGGGGCAACTCTTCCACCCATCGTATTACCCCACCACGAGTGACGAAAAATCGAATAAAAAAAAGTCAGCTGGAAGAAATAAGAAGCTAGAGGCAATGGTACACCATGAACTTTCATAAACAAAATCAATTTCCTTTTTACCGTGAATTCACTAGATTAAAAAAATTTCATTCCACGGAAATGAGGGAGTAGACCTGAGGTATGAACTTCCCGGATGAAAAACCGAACCGTTTCACCTATTGAAGGATGATTTTTTAAATTAAAAACGAATAAACTGAGAATGGGATTTAGTCACCCGCCTATTGCCCCATCACGAGTGACGAAAAATCGAATGAAAAAAATGTTTCAGCTGAATGAAAAATTTAGCTGAATGAAATAAGAAGCTAGAAGCAGTAGTGTACCATGAATTTTAGTAAACAGAGAATCAATTTCCTTTTTACCATTAGTTCACAAGATGAAAAAAAATTAATCCCACGAAAATGTGGGAATAAACCTGTAGTGTAACCTTTGCAGATAAAAAACCAAACCATTTCGCCCATTGAATGATGAATTTTTGAATTGAAAACAAATAAACTGGGAATTGGGTCTACACTCGTGCAGATTGGGAAAATATCCAGTGCAATCGGGCACTTGCGAGCTCCATTACCCCAATATCCACTTTCCATCGAGGGAAAAAAAACGGAACAAAAGCCCCGCTGAAACCCAAAACCCTTCGATATCTCAGAGAGTCACGAGGGAAAAAGCTCCTTTGTACTATTCTGAATCGAAATGTTTTTCCACCGCAGTAAAAACCGAAACGCTTGCTCACGAGCTTTTCCCGACCCCTTCCACTCATGAAGCTGAAACCAGCAAGAGATTTGCCAGTGGAAGTTTCGATTTAGGCGAATCTCGGGGTGTACTAGTATTTTTAAGTCATGTGCAAACTCGTTCGCACTTGAAAAAAGTTTGCTCGTATGATCGTTTGAACTCTAAGGGCACCACCGGAAGACAGCTTTTTTGTTTTGTGAGGAAAGAAATTAAAACGTCATTTTTTGGCATGATTTTTCCGCGAGAATCCGATTCTGTAGGCGGAAATTGCCTCCGACCGCTTAAAATTGAAGTTTTCAATTTTTTGTAACCGGAATTTTTAAGTTGCATTTTCGGTTGCAATAGATTTAAATTCAACTTAATTATTTGGGTTCTTGGAATTTTTATTCTCGAAATTACTGCAAGTGAACAATCTGAAAATTTTCATTCCTCTGAAGCCTCTTTCTTGCAAAAAAACTCCAAACCTACTTTTCCTCAATTTTTACACCCAAGTCGAAGTAGTACCCCCATCCCCACGACAGACGAAGCCCCCAGCGCCGTCAAAATATCATTGCGATCTCCCCTAAACCCCTCAAAAATCCCCTAAATTGAATTTTCCGCTGTCAAATATTCCGCCGTTTGAGCTTTCCCCTTCCCATACATCTCCCGTCTTTTCATTTCCCAAATATCACGAATACTACGAGAAACAGTTATTCGAACTCACCGTGAGAATGTCAGTGGCGGCATAATACCCCTCATAAACCTTGCTCTTCGAGGAATGTCCATGCGAGTATTTCGATTTATGAGTGTAGAGTGTCTGGGGTGTTCTCTCGGCATGTTGATCCTTCTCCTGTTCCATATGCAGTGCCACTGTTTCATTGTTAAATTCAGTGACATCAGCATAATCCGTCTTGCAGCCGGAGAAGCGTTCGTCAGGAAAAAGTAGTTTGTAAGTTTTTTCAGCGTAGACACTGCAGTGCTCGTACTCGTTGAGATCTCGTTGTCCAGGTGTCTGGTGGCCCTCGATGACCTCGCGAGTGATGGTAGCAGCATCGTAACTCGATACTGAGCCCGATCGGCCTTTGGATGCCTTCAGACTGCCGGCAAAACCAGCTAAACGGCTCGATTGGCTGCCGTTGACGACAATCGGCGTCGGCAGCTTCATGTCCTTCACATTTATCGTTATTCCTGGGGCTGATGTGCCACACAGCAACGCCGTGTGCTTCTGAAGTAGGGCCACCTTATTCCGACCGCGCAGCTTCATCAGGAGGACCATGCACGTTAGCAACAGGGCTAGCACCGTCAGGGCACCACTCACCAGGCCAATGTACGTCTGCGACCACTGGGGACTCACCGGAAATGCATCTGGCGTGATATTAGCATTTATCTCGGGATCCGTGTAATTCATGTCTGGACTCTGCTGGTAATTACCGTCGTATATGAGGGACTCGTTTTTACGATCGTAATTCGAAGACTCGAGGGACTCGTCTTGGCTTTCCACGCTCGTGTTCGATTCCAATACTGAAACTTGAGGGGTTTTGCGTTTAGCGATGAGGTTCAGGGGTTGTGGGGGATGTTTGCAGCTGGAGGAGACCGTGGCTAATGAAATTCTGCTCTCGTGGTTTGTTTTTTCGATAATTCAAAGGTGGAATTCCGATTTTTCAGGGATTTTTTTGTGTGCGGTGGGGAAATTGTGCGGGGAATATTAGATACGTATTTTTATTCCCCTGAATTATGAGAATATGATTTATGAATTGAAAATATGTTTCTTCAATTTTCTGCAATTCTTTTTTTTATTTTAGTTGAAAAATATAAAATTTTGATGTTATTTGAAATGATAAAAGTGGAATGTTTAAGGTAATTTTGTCTTTCGTTGAGAATATGTTCCTTTAATTCTCTGGAACTCGATTTTTTCTTCTTTTTAAAAAATGAAAAAATGAAAAAACGTGTCCAATATTTTTATGATTGGACGAATATCCAGACATTTAAAATGAGGAAAACGAATGTTTAATGAATTTTTATTCCCCTCGGTATGATTATCCGTTCGATTATATTTCAGCTAATTAAAAAGTTGAATTGAATCGTTAAAAATATTTCAATAATTTGAAAGTTGTTGGAGAATACACGTATACCCGATGGTCGAATCAAAGAGAAAATTTAATGACGTCAAATCTTCCAATAATTAGAATAAAAGGAATGCTTTGATGTTTTTTCTAAAACTTGGTGGAATGTTTTTTTTTGAATTAATGACTTACTGCTGGTGAATGTAACTTCACTGAGTAGAAGCCACTTTGAGCGTGGCTCCATCTCTAATTTAACGAACTTTGATGTCCTCGAGCGCAGTGGCACAGATACCGGAATGATTCCGGGTGAATAAACGGATCTCTCCTCCACATCCATATCGATCGTCGGTGGTTCGTACACATCGCCGTCCTCCGAGAACGATATGCGAATGAATTTTGGCACTTCGATGCCGCGGACTGGTGCATTGGCAGCATAAATCGTGCAGTTTTCGAATTGACGGATTTCCGTGAACTCGAAGACGATTGTTATGGGGTGGAGATTTGTCCAGCCGACCCAGTGGGCCAGGTTTGATGAGCTGTGAGGATCCTCCCCCAGGTTTCCGTCTACTAATTGTCCCATTCCGTCGATCAGATAATCTCCATTAATGTCTAATTTTCCATCGTACGAATTGTCGTCTACGTTTGCACCCCCAGGACCTGACGTCGCGGGTCTCGACGCCTTGTAAACTCTCACTCGTTCTGAAGGAATCGGAGAAAATGGAAAAAAACATTAACGAAAACAATTTCTTTCGATAACGATATCAATTTTAATTGAAATTCTGTCTTCTTTAATTCAGTTTCACAGCTACAAAATCCCTTTTGACATTTGCAATAAACATGATAAAACAGTCAAAAGGACTTCTAATGTTCAAAAATAATTTGTAATATTTTCAAATCATTTTATTAGGAATTCAAATTTCCTCTGTTTGATTTTTTTATTAAGAGGATAAAAAAAAGTGGAACAAACTATAAAATAGTTTCTATCGACCAGTTTCTACAGGAGAAAATCGAAAGAATCGGTTAAACCCCAATAGAATTTTCAACAGAAGTTCAATCGGTTTTTTGAAGAATTTAATTTCGAATTCTCGATCGAACTTCCTAGATTTTCCCATGACCTTTTCTCGTCCCTGGAATCACAGAATTTCCAAAAAACATTGGTAGACGAAAGTCCCTGATTTCCCCGTCGCGTTGGCCCCCGCCTTCTGACCAAATCGCCCGGAGCCAAAGGGTCAGATTTTCGGTTTTTCGAGGGGGAAAATCGACTTTCAAAAATCGAACTTTTTAGCCGGGAGAACTTTGATTCCAACTATTTAAGCGACGAGCTATTCAGAACTCTCAAAAGTATGTGGAAAAAGTGAAAACTGAAAAAGTTTTTTTTTCAGATTTTCAAAGGGTCAGATTTTCCGTTTTTCCAGGGGGAAAGTTGATTTTCGCGAGAAGCGAATTTTTTAGCCGGGTGAACGTTGATTCCAACTATTTAAGCGACGGGCTATTCAGAACTAGCAAAAGTATGTGGAAAAAGTGAAAACTGAGAAACCGTTTTTTTGGCCCCAGCCAAAGGGTCAGATTTTCCGTTTTTCCAAGGGGAAAGTTGATTTTCGCGAGAAGCGAATTTTTTAGCCGGGTGAACGTTGATTCCAACTATTTAAGCGCCGGGCTTGTCAGAACTGTCGAAAGTATGTGGAAAAAGTGAAAACTGAGAAACCGTTTTTTTGGCCCCAGCCAAAGGGTCAGATTTTCCGTTTTTCCAAGGGGAAAGTTGATTTTCGCGAGAAGCGAATTTTTTAGCCGGGTGAACGTTGATTCCAACTATTTAAGCGCCGGGCTTGTCAGAACTGTCGAAAGTATGTGGAAAAAGTGAAAACTGAGAAACCGTTTTTTTGGCCCCAGCCAAAGGGTCAGATTTTCCGTTTTTCCAAGGGGAAAGTTGATTTTCGCGAGAAGCGAATTTTTTAGCCGGGTGAACGTTGATTCCAACTATTTAAGCGACGGGCTATTCAGAACTATCAAAAGTATGTGGAAAAAGTGAAAACTGAAAAAAAAATGATTCACCGGGGGCGACAGGGTCAGATTTTCGGTTTTTACTTGGAACAATGGTCAGATTTGTTAACACTTCCATTTTTTATTTGGATAATGCATGCAAGCGGAGGGACAAGAGTGGCTAGAATAGATTCTGCAACCTTCTCCCCTTGTTGGGTAAAAATGTCAAGCCTCCACATACATGCATCTCCCCTCCACCCTCTCGTGAAATGTCGATTTTCGAGATTAAAAAAAAACAATAATTGCATTTTTTATTTCAATAACGCATGAGTAAACAGGGATATGAACGCAGATTTATTATAGGCCCATAGAATTACGGGGACCGGCGAGGATTTGGAAAGTCTGAATACAAGTCCTGCTTACACCTAACGAGTGCTGAAATGGGACATAACCGGAGGTAGAAAGGTCTCGGAAGCACTTGGGAAGAGGCTTCCCAAGACCTATCCAGTTCTGACCGGAAAGACCTAAGTAGAACTTGTCAGGTCCAAGTATTCGACTCGGGAATAACGACACCAATTTCTTCAGCCATTGAAAACAAAAAAGCCGAAGGGCGAGGAGTCGGAGTTCCCCACTGGAGTAATTAATGTTTATTTCGTAATACTTACGTTCCCAAACACAACCATAAATCTCCACCCTCATGCACACAGTTCTCGGATGCTGGCTCCAGGGTACGAATCTCACCCTGCTAGCCACAAATGGCAGCTCGAGCCTCTGCCTCTCAACCAGGTACGTATTGGTGTTGCCACGGAGTATGGACTCGCCAGCCAGTGTCGTATACGAGTGCCACTTGGACTCCCTGAAGTACTCCAAGTAGAATGTCTCAGCGTACTCTTGGCCCTGCCCATTGCCAAATCTCCCCTGCGTCTCGGTCCAGGTTATCAGGTGATCGCGGGTCAGGTCTATCTCGAGGAATTCACGAATTCCAGAGCTGATCTGGGCCTTTGGACACCAGGCACCGCCGTTTTTCTCCTGTCGTATTCTTTACGAGAAATTTCAGGAATTAGTGAGGATTATTTCGTCGAATTTTACGAATTCGTTATGAAGCTGAAACTAACAGAATATTCGTCAGCGGAAAATTCAATTTACGAGAGTCAAATAATCATATGTACGAATCAGTTGGTGCTTACCTCTACTATAGTGAAAGGATATAGCCAAAACGATCAGAAGAAAATGTGCAAATCAGTAGCAAAGTGGCAAAACGGTACAAGTCAATTTTTACTATTGACCAGTTTTCAATGAATATCTCGAAATCTAAGGGAGATAGCAAGATTTTTGTTATAACCTTTTTTGTAGAGCCAATTGAGATCTACAACAAATGTGATCACGAAAATTTTGCTATCTCTCTTAGATTCAGAAATATTCCACTAAAACGCAACTGGGAGATAAGTCGACTTAAACCGTTTTACCACTTCGCTACTGAAATGATTTTTAAGTGCGAAAGAGTTTGTATATTACTTTTAAAAAATTGTACACCCCTAGATTCGACTAAGACAAATCTTCTGCGGTCGAATATTTCGCTAGTTTCAGATTCATAAATTCGTTTTGGCACAGGAGTTTTTGAGACTCAGGAGAGAACGTTTTTCAGAGGGCACTAGGGCAAAACACTTTGTTTTTTATTTTCTACTGTAATTGTGTTTTTAATGCTTCGAGAATGTCCAAAGACACACAGAGAAATGGTTTATTTCAATTAAGTAAATGCCTCCATTGGAATCAATCGTATTAAACTTTTTGTTTAAACTTGAACTTGATTAATATTTGCGTTTTTATTCACATCAAATCAATAGTTTTTGAAACATAAAAAAATGTTTTCTTAATTTAACTGTAATTTTCAGAAATTTGACCCCAGTTTTCCAAGATTTTTAGGAATAACACTGAAATTTAGGGACAAAATGCATAAGATTGAGGTTTATATAACTGAAAATTAGTGGCAAAATCACTTGATTTCAGAATTCACTCGTTAAATCTTAGAATTCTGCGGATTATTAAGAACTAAAACTTGTTCATCTCTGTCAATTACGACGAATTATTTATAAACATGTAATAATCTCTTACTTTGATCTAATAAATTGTTTAAAGCAGTTTCATTAAATAAATTAATGAGTATTACTCTCAAACTTAATGCATTAGTGAAACGAATAAAATAACTTCGAATGAAGTTTCCTTGATGAATTACTCGCTATATATAATTAAAACTGTTTCATTAAAATAAATTCATGAGTATGACTCTCAAACTTGAAATATCGGTGAAACGGGCAGAAAAATTTCGACTGAATTTTCCTTGATTCAAATGCATCATTTCTCCGAGTGATTTTTACCTCAAATACTGTAATTTTCACTCGAATTTAGAAGTGCATATTGATAGACACGTCTCTCAGCAGAGATATCCTTAATTGGAGGAAATACTCCTCTCCGGTACATCAAATAATGAAATATTCAGTGCCACTGGACTCGTTGAAGCAACGCCAAACTCCACATTAACTCCATATAAATATTTATCATCCCCTGAAGTCCGATTTAAACGATTTGGTGTGTTCTCACATCGACACTCCCGCGGAATGAGGCAATACTGCTCACTTTGTTGCAAAAACTCAATGGAAATTCTCCACTCTTTAGAAATATTTCATATTTAAATTGTAAATATCTTTTTGCAGATAAGTGAACTCCCGGGGGAACGTATTAAACGTAATTTATTCCGTTTGATGGCATAAAAATTCTCCACCCAAACTTTTCCCTCCGCCGTATCTAAAAAGCCGGTATAAAAAATCACTCTGAAAATAGTGAAATGTTGAATGTCCCTTTGTCCACTCGTTTCAATGTAATTTCAAACAATGAAAAAAAAAGTCAATGTTTTTTTAAGGGGAAAACGAACCTCGTGAAAACCCCAAACCAAACAACTTCTCTCATCTCCTCGCACTCCACTTAATTCCACACTCGTACCCCTGAAAAACATTAATTAACACTCACCTAGCATTCTGCGGTCCGACAGATTTAGTTTCATAACTGGACGATGCTGAAATAGCATCATCCGGTATCTTCCCCTCCTCCATACCAAGTGGAATTGTGCATTGAGCTGAAAAAGAAGCGGTGAGAGCAAAAAACAAATAGAGAAATAATTGAATATATTTGTTTAATTTTTCAGGGCGAAACAATCCGGGAAACGAAAATGAAACAATCGACAAAATTCGAGTTTTTTTAATGGATTAATTGCTTTTTTTTCATTCTCATCAGCATTTCGTTCAAAACATTTAAAATGGATAATATTTAAAAAATGTGATATTTTTAAAATCTGAAATTTTTATAAAAAATCATTAAACAATGACGAATATTTTTGTGTGAGTTAAAGTCACTGTTAATTATCAAATTATCTTAGGAATGAATGAATTTTCAAAAGAATTACGAAACAATCCGTAAAACGAAAATGAAACAATCGACAAAATTCTATTTTTTTTACTGAATTAATGACATTATTTTTGTTTCATTCTCATAGGTATCTCGCCTAATATCAGAGTTATCGAATTGCTTTCCGATACATGAAATGAACATGAAAACCTTTAAAATGTGTAATATCTCAAAACTCAATATTTTTAATCTCAAATTTCCATTAAAAAATCATGAAACAATGACGAATATTTGTCTGTGAATTAACATCACTGTTAATTATGGTATTATCTCAAGAATCCATTAATTTCCAAAAAAAATCAGGAGACGAAAGAGTCTAGTCCTGATTTTAAAAAATCCTAGTCATTTTTCCCCGAATGAATTCTTTTGATTCTTAAAAATTGTAATCAATATTTCGTTCGACAGATTTTGTTTCATAACTGGACAACGCTAAAGTATCATCATCCGTTACCTTCCCCTCATCCCAAGTGGACTACCGCATTGAGCCGAAAAAAAAGCCGCGAGGGTAAAACCCAAATAAAGAAATAATGGAATAAATTTGTTTAACTTTCCACGACGAAACAATCCGTAAAACGAAAATGAAACAATCGAGAACTCGTCAGCCCCGCCAAATGTTTAATAATGAATACGTCGACGGACGTGATGTTGGTGGGTGGCTGGGAGTTATGAGTGAGTACAAGAAGCAAGAGGGATAGGAGTTGGAAAAGCCCTCTCTCGTTTTCCCCGACGGTTACTCCCTCGGGCATGCAGTTATCCCCCAGAAATACCCGCACCACCCACGCGAATACGTATGTGTGTATGCATCCATGTGGGTTAACATTGGAGAGAGGCAAAGCAAATTTCCGGTGCGACGCGCTCTCTCCCAACGTCGTGGATTATTCATACTAACCGGAAGCATTCTTAATCTGCTCCTCCGACGTGCAGCTGGAGAAACACCAGTACAGTGCCAATGTGGCAGTGACAATTTTCACTGTTGTTGTCGTGTTACACATTATATGTCCAGCCACTCAACTGTTGTCCCTCTTTAATTAGTTTTTGGGAGTTATTGAAATATTAACATCCGGATTGTGGCGAATCATTGCGCCCACCAACTCTCCTGTCATCGCATTTTAAACTGCAACAGAAATGTTTCATAGGTTGGTAGATTTTATTCAGCTGCAGAGGGGGGACAATTTCATTATCATTTTTGTGTGATTGTGAGCGGTTTTTTAAATTTTTGACCTTTGTAAATTATGTGGAATATCGCTTTTTTTATGGGATAAAATATTGAGTTGCCGCCCTAAAGGATATTTTCAGGGTGATCGAAACGCACCAACACAATTTGATCTTTGTTATGCAAAATAATATTGCTAAATAATATTCATCAAGCGGTCTATAATTGTTAGTCCTTGAATAAATGGAAAATATTATCTCACGTTCAATTGAAAAATTGTTGAGATCATCAATAGTCTGATAATTTCACGACAAATTTCAATCAAAAATCTTTACAATATCTAAGAAATAATATAGATGAAATTTAAATACATTTTCTCGCTGAAAAATTTGTTATTTTTAAATAAATTCACTGATAATTTGAAATTGAATTAAATGTCATGTAGGAAAAAATGAAAATCATGGCAAATCAAATAACTATTGCCTTAATCTCCGAAATTAATCCAAAAATTCCAATTATTAATGAAATTTCCACTATTTTACCCATAAAAAAACTCAATTTTCTTAAATTATCGCCATAAAACAGACATTCATGGACCCTAAAAGCATCTAAGTTGCAACAGTTAAGACATGAAAAAATCCTATTATGCCCCATTAATTAACAAAACACGCGAAAAATTCCCTGCGGCGAATAAAAAATTCTCCATTCATACACAGAGAAAAATAGTCTTTGGAAATCACCAACGATTTGTTAAAAAAATGAATAAAAACCCCTGATCCAGAAAATAACTCGACTTTTGCCGTCGAATTTTGTGAGAAATTCCCCTGGAATTGACTCACAATCTTTCCACTCTCAACCTAGAATTATTGTTCCACTGTGATTGGCAGCAATTGCTCATGTGATCCATTTTCCTTTCCCGAGGTTTTATAGTCCTAGGTGGTACAGGCACTGGAAATTTACTTCTCCCATTTCTTGAAAAATTGCGTTGTCGTGCTTTATAATCCCGTTGCCGTGCATAAAGCCGGTTTTACTCCCCTTTAAAACGTCTTTCCTCATTCTATTTACGTGCAAAATTGATTTACTTTAAACAGAGCCGTTCAGCAAATTGTCAACGTCCCAATGCGGATAGAGCGTAGATTTAAAAAAATCCAAACACAATGCTTCTGCTTTCTTCCAATCAGCGATTTTCCTCCCATTACTCCTGTCGTTGAATTCATTTAATTCTGGCATTTAACTGTTCCTGGAAACATTCCATCGGTGATTGAATACTTCACTCGAATCCCTTTATCAACCCAAATAATTGCATTTCATCCCTTGTTGCGAATGTGAACTGGATTTAAGATTAAATCCTTCATCGAATTTTTTATTCATTTCGAAGAGCCAATAAATGGAGTTTTCAATGTTGAGTGATCAATGACAGCTTACATTTTCACAATTTTAAATAATTTATACTGTCATATGGACCTCACGATCGCAATTTCATTGAACTATTCGTTTCGGTGAATTGGTCATCATTAAAACTTTCACGACTGTCCGAAAAAATTCTATCTTTCTTCAACATTTCAAAATTCATTGAGAAAAAGAAATTTCGGTAGAATGTAGGTGATGAAAAAATCCAAACAATGCTTCCACTCATATTACTCTAATCATTCAATTCCTCCCACATTCAATTCCGGCATTTGACTGTTCCTGAAAACTATTATATTATTATTTAATCCCTTTATGAACCGAAATAATTACACTTCATCCTTTGCTGTAAATTTGAACTCAAGTTAAAATCAAATCATCAATCAATTTTGTTATTCATCTTGGAAAGTCAATAAATGGAGTTTTTTATATTGAGTGATCATCGATATTTAATTTACAGATTGAATTATCAAATCATTGTGGAAATTGAGCAATAGTTCCTTGAATTTTCAAAATCTTCATCAATTTTTATTCTTATGTGGACCTTAAAATCGCAATTTTATTGAACATTCCGGAAATCAATTGAGTTTTCAGTCACAACACATACGGAAATTTCCCGACTGCCCATAAAAACCCATTTCGTTTCAAAATTTAAAAATTAAAATAGTCACCGTCTCAACTCCAACAGAACTTAGATTTAAAAAAAAATGCAAACAATGCTGCCACTTTCTTCTAATGAAAGAGTTCCTCCTACTGCTCCAAGCGTTGAATTCCCCGCGCATTTAATTCCGGCATTTAACTATTCCTGAAAATATTCCATCAGCGATAGAAAACTTCATTGAAATCCCTCTATGAACCCAAATAATTGCGCTTCATTCCTGCCGCCCCTTGTAACAACTTCCTGCACTCCATCAGAATTAATTAACTCCAACCTGAACTTCGTCAACACTCAATGTCATTGAAAAAATCGAGTAATCAAGCCCTAAAAGGGAGGAAAGAAATAAATTGATAAGATAAAACGAATAGTTAATTGTTCGTTTTTGTTTGTCCCTTCACATTCAGCCGTACCGATGCTCTTGATAATTGGCTAGTACAGGGAAGCGGTAAATGGGAGTCAGAAGAGGGCAAAAAGGGAGAACAAAGATAGACAGACAACTGGCAAACGTCGTTTTATCCTCCCGAAGAAGATGGTTTTCCATTATATACAGATATAATGCCCCATAACTGGAGCATCAACTCGTACAATTCATTGTCCACTCCCTTCAACAACCAGCGCAAAAGGTAAAACGACGACGAGTAAAATTTCCGTGAATCCCAAAGTCAGAAGTTTAATGAGATTTTGTTATAAAAACGTCGTTCCACTTCTCCTTTGATTTGTCCCAAACTACTGTCTGTCATTTCTCTTGGTATTATTACGCCACTTCCAGCGGAGTTTATACCCATTTGTCCTCAAACATTTGTCGGAAGCTCCTCCATTTCCCAGACTGTAAGAAACAAAAAGGGGCAATCCATATGGTCCTGTGGATGACCCGGGATTAAGGAACAAACTTTGCTCTCACGTTTGATAGCGCCCGCAAGGACGAGATGAAGGAACAACGGAAAAAGAAACACGAGAAAACACTGAGAGGTATCACACGGTTAGGAATTTTTTTCTGAATGTGTGGGATCAAATCTTGAGGATTTTTATCAAGTTACATTTCTACATGATTGCGAGGGAATTTGGTCGTTGCAAAATCGCTTGTTTTATTGAATTTTCAGTTGAATAATGTCGGAAGAAAATTCAATAGAAAACGTAATGCACTTGTTAAAAATATTTATTAGAATACTATTGAAAACGCATTCGCATTCAATCGAAATTCTCAGAGGGAGCGCTAAATTTTTTTACTAAACTTGTTCAGATGCCAAATGTTTTCGGTGAAAATGAGTGAAATTCTGAATTTATTAGATCAAATGTTCGAATTTTTAAACAAGTAAAAATCGTATAATTCAGTGATTTTTTTATTATTTATGAAAGTTGACGCTTCACTTAAATAACCCGTGGAAAAGATCCACAAAATTTCTACCGCATTCTAAAAATTAAACCTCACATTCAATTCAACGTCCACCGGATTAAAATTTCCGAACAATATTGCCTGAATTTTCACAATTCCCGCTAATTTCTTCTGTCACATAAAAAAATAAGGCATCCGAAACCCAACAAAATATTCGAAAATTCCAGATATCATTATTAAAAATAGAATAATCCCAGAAATTCCATCTATTCCACAAAACCCCCTGATTTCTCGCATTAGACTGCGTTTTCCTCCGCTGCCCTCTGTTTGGACATTAATTATACCAGTGAAAGGGTCTTTGTGGACGTGAGAAAAACGAGTAGAGAGTAAAAGGAGCCCCCCTCCTCCCCCTTGGCGGAAGGTGAGCTTACGTTTGACGACAGAGCAAGAGAGCCCTCGGAGAGAGGGCCGAGAGGAAATGTATATAAAGAGAACTACAGCCCGCAGCAGCCAGCCGTTTGCTCTCCTGCGCAACAAGTAAACCAACGATCAATACGCAATATACTTGGTGTCCACGACGTAACCGTACACAGAAGGACCCCACTCACAGCCAGCAACAATTTTTCTCTGCCACTTTTCCGTCTCCTTTCCCTCTTCCTTTTTCCCCCCCATCTAAAACTTGCAGACCGAATGGAGAGAAAAAAAATTTCCCCGGCTACCCCCTAACGATTTCCGATTTTTTCCACATGAGAGAAAGACCAGAACAAAAAACAACAGAACTAAAGTGAAGAGAAAAAAATATAAGCTACATAACTACGACGCAGACGCGGCATCGAATTTTAAAATAGTCTATGGTCCTGCGAGTTCTCTCGTTCGGACGCCGATATAAAAAATGTAAAAAGTTTCGGGTGCTTTGAAATATAAATTGGCAGAGGAGACGAGGTATCGGGGGAAGAAAGTAGCGACGTAAAAAAAAAACGCGCGCCATAAAGCGAAGAAGTACGAATAAACGGGATAAAAAGAAGGAGAGAAGCGAGTCGAAGGTAAAAGTGAAGACGTTATCAAAGAAATGGAGATGGGCTCGTATTGGACACACGCTTGATGGTATAATGGCCCCCCGCCCCCGGCCGAGTGCCCCTCAATGGCCCTCGCCCCACCGACTCGCCCACTGTAACCCATCCGAGCCAAGTGCACCCCGACGTATTCAAGACAAACGTGAAAAGTAGACATTGAAAAGCAACCCATACACCCCTGACACGGAGAATAGGTGATGCCGTTGGTGGGGTGAAGAGAGAGTGCTCCAACATCAAGAGAACTAGAGAATTTAACAATGAGCGTATGCCAACAAAGTTATCGTTGGCGTTGAATAGACGATGAAATTATTCACGGGCAATCTGTCGTAACCGAGTTAATTTCGGCTCGCTGCGGAAATCTACATATTCAGCAAGATCACTCCCTAGCGCCGGTACGCGCGCCGAGTTCCCTGTCCCTCTCATTTCCACCCACTCACTGCCCCCGACCCCCTCCCCCCACCGCTATCCATGCTTTTACCCGTTCCCCCGT